ACCAGACAGGTGTGGAAGTGTTCTACAGCAGACTAACCAGACAGGTGTGGAATGTGTTCTACAGCAGACTAACCAGACAGGTGGTGGAATGTGTTCTACAGCAGACTAACCAGACAGGTGTGGAATGTGTTCTAAGCAGATAACCAGACAGGTGTGGACTGTGTTCTACAGCAGACTAACCAGACAGGTGTGGAATGTGTTTCTACAGCAGGACTAACCAGACGGGTGTGGAATGTGTCTACAGCAGATAACCAGGGACAGGTGTGGAATGTGTTCTACAGCAGACTAACCAGACAGGTGTGGAATGTGTTCTACAATAGACTAACCAGACAGGTGTGGAATGTGTTCTACAGCAGACTAACCAGACAGGTGTGGAATGTGTTCTACAGTCAGATAACCGACAGGTGTGGAATGTGTTCTACCAGCAGACTAACCAGACAGGTGTGGAATGTGTTCTACAGCAGACTAACCAGACAGGTGTGGAATGTGTTCTACAGCAGACTAACCAGACAGGTGTGGAATGTGTTCTACAGCAGACTAACCAGACAGGTGTGGAATGTGTTCTACAGCAGACTAACCAGACAGGTGTGGAATGTGTTCTACAGCAGACTAACCAGACAGGTGTGGAATGTGTTTCTACATGCAGACTAACCAGACAGGTGTGGAATGTGTTCTACATAGACTAACCAGACAGGTGTGGAATGTGTTCTACAGCAGACTAACCAGACAGGTGTGGAATGTGTTCTACAGCAGACTAACCAGACAGGTGTGGAATGTGTTCTACAGCAGACTAACCAGACAGGTGTGGAATGTGTTCTACAGCAGACTAACCAGACAGGTGTGGAATGTGTTCTACAAGACTAACCAGACAGGTGTGGAATGTGTTCTACAATAGACTAACCAGACAGGTGTGGAATGTGTTCTACAATAGACTAACCAGACAGGTGTGGAATGTTTCTAGAGCAGACTAACCAGACAGGTGTGGAATGTGTTCTACAGCAGACTAACCAGACAGGTGTGGAATGTGTTCTACAGCAGACTAACCAGACAGGTGTGGAATGTGTTTCTAACAGCAGACTAACCAGACGGGTGTGGAATGTGTTCTACAGCAGACTAACCAGACAGGTGGAATGTGTTTCTACAAAGACTAACCAGACAGGTGTGGAATGTGTTCTACAAGTAGACTAACCAGACAGGTGTGGAATGTGTTCTACAATAGACTAACCAGACAGGTGTGGAATGTTTTTCTACAGCAGACTAACCAGACAGGTGTGGAATGTGTTCTACAGCAGACTAACCAGACAGGTGTGAATGTGTTTCTACAGCAGACTAACCAAGACAGGTGTGGATGTGTTCTACAGCAGACTAACCAGACAGGTGTGGAAGGTTCTACAGCAGACAACCAGACAGCAGGTGGGAATGTGTTTACAATTAGCCAACCAGACAGTGGGAATGTGTTCTACAGCAAGACTACCGAGGTGTGGAATGTGTTCTACAAAGCCAACCAGACAGGTGTGGAATGTGTGCTACAGCAGACTAACCAGACAGGTGTGGAATGTGTTCTACAGCAGACTAACCAGACAGGGTGAATGTGTTCTACAATAGACTAACAAGAACGGTGGGAATGTGTTACAGCCAGACTAACCAGACGGTGTGGAATGATCCTGTGTTCTACAGAGACTATACCAGACAGGTGTGGAATGTGTTCTACAGCAGACTAACCAGACAGGTGTGGAATGTGTTCCAGCATAGGTGTGTGTGGAAATAACGGTATCTTTTTGTGTGGTGTGTGTGTGTGTGTGTGTGTGTGTGTGTGTGTGGTGTGGTGTGTGTGTGTGTGTTGTGTGTGTTGTGTGTGTGGTTGTGTGTCAGGTCCGTCGCGGGGCTGGTTCCAGCGCTCTAAAGTTCTGCAGGTGCAGGCGTGTGTGAGGATGGTTCTAGAGTGGGCTAGGAAGGCGGGGCTTAGTCACCTGGCAGACAAGTTCTTCAACAAGTTCAACAGTGCTGTCAGCATCCTGGCCACACCCCCTCAGCAGCTAACACAGGTAACATCACACACCTGACCCCTAACCTCTGACCTCTAACCTTTTCTCACCGTAAAGGTCCAATGCAGCCATTTTTATCTCAATATCAAATCATTTCTGGGTACAATGAACAATGAAGTACCTTACTGTGATTGGTTTACATTAAAGTGGTCAAAAAATAAATAAAAAAATAACTTTCTTAGCGAAGAGGAATTTCTCAAGCAAGAATTTGGGACTGTCTGGGAGTGGTCGGAGTGGGGAGGGGAACAACTGAAAATTAGCTGTGATTGGCAGAGAGGTTTGGAGCTGTCCTTTTTATTGGTCTATTAACTAATTCACCAGGCTGGCCAAAACTTCGTCACACTGAAGGCTGAAATTTCAGGCGGTGTTTTCAAACAGCTCTTACATTAAAAGGGCATTATCATCATATTCACTATATCACAGTGTTATTCCAACCTCAGTGTGGAAATACACTGCTCAAAAAAATAAAGGGAACACTTAAACAACACATCCTAGATCTGAATGAATGAAATAATCTTATTAAATACTTTTTTCTTTACATAGTTGAATGTGCTGACAACAAAATCACACAAAAATTATCAATGGAAATCAAATTTATCAACCCATGGAGGTCTGGATTTGGAGTCACCCTCAAAATTAAAGTGGAAAACCACACTACAGGCTGTATATATATATTCTGCTATATTTATTCTTTATACACTGAATACTTATGTAAATAAGGTATCCGTTTTTTATTTTTTATACATTTGCAAACATTTCTAAAAAACTGGTTTTTGCTTTGTCATAATGGGGTATTGTGTGTAGATTGATGAGGGGAAAAAACTATTTAATCCATTTTAGAATAAGGCTGTAACGTAACAAAAATGTGGAAAAAGTCAAGGGGTCTGAATACTTTTCCGAATGCAGTGTATATTCTGATATATTTATTCTCTCTCTATATTTCTAGATGAGTTGGAAGGTGTTGTGTGCGGACCACCCCAGTCTGAAGCCGGTGCAGCTGCATAGCCTGTTGACTCAGTACCAGCTGACGGCTGAGATGGGGCCAGTCCCTATCTGGCAGCCCAGCAGTGAGGACGAGGCATACATATACAGGACAGGTACCTACAGTGGGGAGAACAAGTATTTGATACACACTGCCGATTTTGCAGGTTTTCCTACTTACAAAAGCATGTAGAGGTCTGTAATTTTTAATCATAGGTACACTTCAACTGTGAGAGACGGAATCTAAAACAAAAATCCAGAAAATCACATTGTATGATTTTTAAGTAATTAATTTGCATTTTATTGCATGACATAAGTATTTGATACATCAGAAAAAGCAGAACTTAATATTTGGTACAGAAACCTTTGTTTGCAATTACAGAGATCATATGTTTCCTGTAGGTCTTGACCAGGTTTGCACACACTGCAGCAGGGATTTTGGCCCCCTTCTCCAGATCCTTCAGGTTTCGGGGCTGTCGCTGGGCAATACAGACTTTCAGCTCCCTCCAAGGATTTTCTATTGGGTTCAGGTCTGGAGACTGGCTATGCCACTCCAGGACCTTGAGATGCTTCTTACGGAGCCACTCCTTAGTTGCCCTGGCTGTGTGTTTCGGGTCGTTGTCATGCTGGAAGACCCAGCCACGACCCATCTTCAACAGCCACGACCCATCTTCAATGCTCTTACTGAGGGAAGGAGGTTGTTGGCCAAGATCTCGCGATACATGGCCCCTTCCATCCTCCCCTCAATACGGTGCAGTCGTCCTGTCCCCTTTGTTTCCACCTCCATGCTTCACGGTTGGGATGGTGTTCTTGGGGTTGTACTCATCCTTCTTCTTCCTCCAAACACGGCGAGTGGAGTTGAACCAAAAAGGACTTAGTTTTGTATCAGAAACCTGTTTCTCCCATGTCTCCTGTGGTCTACCAGGTCTTGGCAAACTCAGAGGATGCCCTGCTCGCGTGCTTAGTCAGGGCCTGCGTCGCTGGGCAGATTTAATCCATCGCTCAGTTTTCTATGGGTTATCTGGAGACTGTGTGTCCCAGCTCGCCTTCAGATGCTTTGACCACGTGCCTGCTGTGTGTGTCTGTGCTGGATCCCTCAACCTTCCTCACTGAGGTTTTGGATTGCTAACCCACTCTGAACGGTGGTCTGTCTGGAAGCACCCCAAGATGTGTTGACCTCATGCTTGCACGTTGTTGCTTCATTTCTGAAGTAGATTGCAACGGCACAGTGTTTTGCTTCTCACCACCTGCTTGCCATTGTCCTGTGACAACCCGCTTGCGGTCTGTGGATTCTAACCCTGCTCTGCCTGTACTGTTCGGATTCTACCCATTGCTCTGCCGGTCTGTGTGGATTCTACCCTGCTCTGCGTGTCTGTGTGGATCTAACCCCGCTTGCCGTGTCTGTGTGGATTCAACCCTGCTCTGCCGTGTCTGTGTGGATTCTTAACCTGCTCTGCCGGTCTGTGTGGATTCTACCCTGCTCTGCGTGCGGGTGGTTTCTAAACCCTGCTCTGCGTGTCTGTGTGGATTCTAAACCTGCTCTGCCGTGTTGTGTGGATTCTAACCCGTGCTCTGCCGTGTCGTGTGGTTCTAACCCCTGCTCTGCCGTGTCTGTGTGGATTCTAACCCCTGCTCTGCCGTGTCTGTGTGGATTCTAACCCCTGCTCTGCCGTGTCTGTGTGGATTCTAACCCCTGCTCTGCCGTGTCTGTGTGGATTCTAACCCCTGCTCTGCCGTGTCTGTGTGGATTCTAACCCCCTGCTCTGCCGTGTCTGTGTGGATTCTAACCCCTGCTCTGCCGTGTCTGTGTGGATTCTAACCCCTGCTCTGCCGTGTCTGTGTGATTCTAACCCTGCTCTGCTGGGATTCTAACCCCTGCTCTGCGTGTCTGTGGTGGATTCTAACCCTGCTCTGCCGTGTCTGTTTGGATTCTACCCCATGCTCTGACGTGTCGGTGTGAGATTCTAACCCCAGCTCTGCCGGGTCTGTGTGGATTCTAACCCCTGCTCTGCCGTGTCTGTCCCTCCCCCAGTGGACCTGTTGGAGAGTTTTGAGAACCACCCCCCCATCGTCCTCCCCAGCGGGGGGTTCAGAGTGGACCTAGACAGTGACTCTATAGAGGACAGCATCTACAGACAGCTGCTCTACGTTAGACACTTCCTCTGGGGGCTACGCACCAAGACTCACCCCACTGGCAACAACACACACACTCACCCCACTGGCAACAACACACACACTCACCCCACTGGCAACAACACTCACACTCACCCCGCTGTCAACAACACACACCCCACTGTCAACAACACACACACTCACCCCACTGTCAACAACACACACACACACACTCCCACGGCGGTTAACGGGACTGGAACACGAACGAGCACCGGGACTAGTACCGCCCCTGCAGACTGGCAGGAAGCACAGGTAGGTCACGTGATGCACACACACACGCACACACACGCACGCACGCACACACACACACACACACACACGCACACACGCACACACGCACACACACACACACACACACACACACACACACACACCCACTCCTTGCAGTAATCCGGGCCATGTGCCTCAGCAGCTGTGGTTCTTTAGTAGTTACCAGTAATCTTTTACATGAAAGACAAAAGGCCCTTTACTCCGTCCACACACATCGATGTGCACACAGACAATACTGCCCCCCCCCCCCTCCCCCCCCCCCCCCCCCCCCCCCCCCCCCCCCCCCCCCTCCCCCCCCGCCCAATCACACCCACCCACACCCTGGCGGTGCGGGGTCCTAGACATGACAGCCATGGTAATCAGATTAAGGCTTTAGGACCAGTAAGTAGTTCATCAGGACGGCTGGCTGGGAGAGGCCTACTGCGGCCAACACTCCTGTCTTTAACAGTATTGTAATTGTGTGTTGTTTTATCCCCCCTCCCCCCCCCCCATCCAGAGGGAGTGTCCTCTGTCCCACAATACTCCCCGGTCAGGAGGGGGGGAGGCGGGGGAGACGGGTGAGGAGTGGGTGACGGACAGACCCCCAGGCCAATCTCACAGCAGTGTGAGGAGGAATGGCACCGCCCACCACCCCCGGGCAACCAACCAGGACCCTTCGTGCCTCCTGACTCCGCCCAACACGCCCTTGTACCCTGAGGGGGGCGGGGCTGACCTGGTTGGACACGCCCCAGAAGCAACGGGATAGACGGTAAGGACCTGTCGAAATGATACGGGTAATATGACCCCCGGCAACCAGCAGAGGGTAAGACCCTCTAGAAAATATGGGTAATAGGACATGGCAACGGGCTGCGTAAAGCCACCTCACGCATTATAGGGTAATACCAAACGGCAACGGACCTAAGGGAAAGACCTCCTGACTGACATAATACGGCTTTAACCTGAAGGGGTAGAGGGAAAGACTCTCTGACATATTGGGAATAAACATCGCCAACGACTAGAGGGGTAAAGGACTGCTCAGACATATTGGGTAAGAACATCGCAACGATGGAGAGGGAAAGACCTTACGGACATATAGACGGGTAATGACATGCACGGCAGAGTAAAGACTCCTTACTGACATATATATGGGTAATATAACATCGGCAACAGACTAGAGGGGAAAGACTCCTCTACTGACATATATATGGGTAATATAACATCTGCAACAGGCTAGAGGGTAAAGACTCCTCTACTGACATATATATGGGTAATATAACATCTGCAACGGGCTAGACGGTAAAGACTCCTCTACGGGTAATATAACATCGGCAACGGCTAGAGGGTAAAGACTCCTCTACTGACATATATATGGGTAATATGACATCGGCAACAGGACTAGAGGGTAAAGACTCCTCTACTGACATATATATGGGTAATATGAACTCGGCAACGGACTAGAGGGTAAAGACTCCTCTACTGACATATAGAGGGTAATATGACATCGGCAACAGGCTAGAGGGTAAAGACTCCTCTACTGACATATATATGGGTAATAACATCGGCAACAGGACTAGAGGGTAAAGACTCCTCTACTGACATATATATGGGTAATATGACATCGGCAACGGACTAGAGGGTAAAGACTCCTCTACTGACATATATATGGGTAATATGACATCGGCAACAGGCTAGAGGGTAAAGACTCCTCTACTGACATATATATGGGTAATATAACATCGGCAACGGACTAGAGGGTAAAGACTCCTCTACTGACATATATATGGGTAATATGACATCGGCAACAGACTAGAGGGTAAAGACTCCTCTACTGACATATATATGGGTAATATGACATCGGCTAGAGGGTAAAGACTCCTCTACTGACATATATATGGGTAATATAACATCGGCAACAGGCTAGAGGGTAAAGACTCCTCTACTGACATATATATGGGTAATATGACATCGGCAACGGACTAGAGGGTAAAGACTCCTCTACTGACATATATATGGGTAATATAACATCGGCAACAGGCTAGAGGGTAAAGACTCCTCTACTGACATATATATGGGTAATATAACATCGGCAACGGACTAGAGGGTAAAGACTCCTCTACTGACATATAGACGGGTAATATAACATCGGCAACGGACTAGAGGGTAAAGACTCCTCTACTGACATATATATGGGTAATATAACATCGGCAACAGGCTAGAGGGTAAAGACTCCTCTACTGACATATATATGGGTAATATGACATCGGCAACGGACTAGAGGGTAAAGACTCCTCTACTGACATATATATATGGGTAATATAACATCGGCAACAGGCTAGAGGGTAAAGACTCCTCTACTGACATATATATGGGTAATATGACATCGGCAACGGACTAGAGGGTAAAGACTCCTCTACTGACATATATATGGGTAATATAACATCGGCAACAGGCTAGAGGGTAAAGACTCCTCTACTGACATATATATGGGTAATATAACATCGGCAACGGACTAGAGGGTAAAGACTCCTCTACTGACATATAGACGGGTAATATAACATCGGCAACGGACTAGAGGGTAAAGACTCCTCTACTGACATATATATATGGGTAATATAACATCGGCAACAGGCTAGAGGGTAAAGACTCCTCTACTGACATATATATGGGTAATATGACATCGGCAACGGACTAGAGGGTAAAGACTCCTCTACTGACATATATATGGGTAATATAACATCGGCAACAGGCTAGAGGGTAAAGACTCCTCTACTGACATATATATGGGTAATATAACATCGGCAACGGACTAGAGGGTAAAGACTCCTCTACTGACATATAGACGGGTAATATAACATCGGCAACAGGCTAGAGGGTAAAGACTCCTCTACTGACATATATATGGGTAATATAACATCGGCAACGGACTAGAGGGTAAAGACTCCTCTACTGACATATATATGGGTAATATAACATCGGCAACAGGCTAGAGGGTAAAGACTCCTCTACTGACATATATATGGGTAATATGACATCGGCAACGGACTAGAGGGTAAAGACTCCTCTACTGACATATATAGTGCCTTCGGAAAGTATTCAGACCCCTTGACTTTTTCCACATTTTGTTACCTTACAGCCTTATTCTAAAATGGAATAAATAAATAAAAATCCTCAGTAATCTACACACAATGCGAAAACAGATATCTTATTTACATAAGTATTCAGACCCTTTGCTATGAGACTTGAAATTGAGCTCAGGTGCATCCTGTTTCCATTGATCGTCCTTGAGATATTTCTACAACTTGATTGGAGTCCACCTGTGGTAAATTAAATTGATTGGACATGATTTGGAAAGACACACCTGTCTATGTGCATGTCAGAGCAAGAACCAAGCCATGAGGTCGAAGGAGTTGTCCGTAGAGCTCCGAGACAGGATTGTGTCAAGGTACAGATCTGGGGAAGGGTACCAAAAACATTCTGCAGCATTGAAGGTTCCCATGAACACAGTGGCCTCCATCATTCTTAAATGGAAGAGGTTTGGAACCACCAAGACTCTTCCTAGAGCTGCTCCAGAGCGCTCAGGACCTCAGACTGGGGGGGTCGAAGGTTCACCTTCCAACAGGACAACCACCCTAAGCACACAGCCAAGACAACGCGGGAGTGGCTTCGGGACAAGTCTCTGAATGTCCTTGAGTGGCCCAGCCAGAGCCAGGACATGCAATATAGCACAGTGTTTTATATTAAACTCATATTTATCAAGGGTGTCAATAATTATGGACCTGACTAACATATACACAGCAATATAGTTTTTTACAGTATGTAAAACATACATGCATGTATTTATATATAAAATATAACATCAGCAATGGACTTGACGATATAAATTCATGTACAGCAACATATAAGAAAATATACTTTTGACATAATCTATACGAAATACACCATAACAGGAGAACGGACTGACACCAGAACTGTAGAGAGGAGCGCTGTTGTTCCCTGATAACCTCTGGATGTGCGCCCTCTGGTGATAGGGTTCAGTACTGCACGTCTATGGCTTTACATGTAACTTTTACATTTTAGTCATTTAGCAGACACTAATCACAGAGCAAATTTACAGGAGCAATTAGGGTTAAGTGCCTTGCTCGAGATGTAGCACGTAGTCGGCTCAGGGAACAGAACCAGCGACCTTTCGGTTACTGGGCTTAACCGCTGGGCTACCTGCCCTCCAGTCTACGCTGTCTGTTTAGTTGTTTAGTCGTTGACTGTGTGTGTTCGTAGTTCTGTGTTTGTGGGACTGCCTTGTAGCTCTGTGTGTTAGTTGTTCTGTGTTTGTGGGACTGCCTTGTAGCTCTGTGTGTTCGTAGTTCTGTGTTTGTGGGACTGCCTTGTAGCTGTGTGTGTTAGTTCTGTGTTTGTGGGACTGCCTTGTAGCTCTGTGTGTATCTAGCTGTGGTGTGTGTGTGTGTGTGTCCTCTGTGCAGGTAGTGTGTGTGAGTTCCCCTTCCCCGTGCCTCCCGGGCCCCTGCTAGCTGATGATGAGTGTTGTCTGGTGTTTGTAGTGGAGCTGAACAAGGGGCCATACGGACTGGGCATGGGACTCATCGATGGACTGGTGAGTAAATCAAATCAAATGTTATGCTTCGTAAAACAACAGGTGTAGACTAACAGTGAAATGTTTACTGACGGGTCCTTTTCCAACAACGCAGAGTTAAAGATAAAGATAAAATATATAAAATAAAAATACAAATGTGACAAGGAATAAATACACAGTGAATAACATTAACGAGTAAAAATAACATGGCTATATACAGGAAGTACCAGTACCGAGTCGATGTGCAGGGCTACGAGGTAATTGAGGTAGCTATGTACATATAGGAAGGGTAAAGTGACTAGGCAACAGGATAGATAAGACAGTAGCAGCAGCGTATGTGGTGAGTGTGTGTGTGTAATGTGCGTGTATGTGTGTGATGGGGTGTCTGTGAGAGTTAGTACAAAAAAGGGTCAACGCAGGTATTCCAGGTAGCCATTTGCAATCCAGATTGCGTCATCTGTGGATCTTTCGGGGCAGTATGTGACTTGGAGTGGGTCCAGGGTGTCTGGGATGATGGTGTTGATTTGAGCCATGACCAGCCTTTCAAAGCCTTTCATGGCTAATGATGTGAGCGCTACGGGGCGATAGTCATTTAGTTACCTTGGCGATCTTGGGCACAGGGACTGTGGTCTGCTTGAAACATGTAGATATTACAGACAGGATCAGGGAGAGGTTGAACATGTCAGTGAAGAAGTCTCCTGAGTGGCGCAGTTGTCTAAGGCGCTGCATCGCAGTGCTAGCTGTGCCACTAGAGATCTTGGTTCGAATCCGGGCTCTGTCGCAGCCGGCCGCGACCGGGAGACTCATGGGGCGGCGCACAACTGGCCCAGCGTCGTCCAGGGTAGGAGAGGGAATGGCCGGCAGGGATGTAGCTCAGTTGGTAGAGCATGGCGTTTGCAACGCCAGGGTTGTGGGTTCGATTTCCACGGGGGGACAGTATGGAAGAAAAAAAACTAAGTCGCTCTGGATAAGAGCTTCTGCTAAATGATGTAAATGTAAATGTAAGAGACTTGCCAGTTGGTCAGACCATGCCCTGAGTATGCGTCCTGGTATTCTGTCTGGCCCCGCGGACTTGAGAATGTTAACCTGTTTAATGGTCTTACTCACGGGCCTCCCGAGTGACGCAGCGGTCTAAGGCAGTGCTAGAGGCGTCACTACAGACCCGGGTTTGATACCGGGCTGTATCACAACCGGACGTGATCGGGAGTCCCATAGGGCGGCGCACAAATGGCCCAGCATTGTCCGGGTTAGGGGAAGGGGGGGCTTTACTTGGCTCATCACGCTCTAGCGACTCCTTGTGGCGGGCCGGGAGCCTGCAGGCTGAACTCGGTCGTCAGTTGAACGGTGTTTCCTCTGACACATTGGTACGGCTGGGCTAAGCTTCCGGGTTAAGCAAGCGGGTGTTTAGAAGCACGGTTTGGCGGGTCATGTTTCGGAGGACGCATGACTCGACCTTCGCCTCCCGAGCCTGTTGGGGGAGTTGGAGCGATGAGACAAGATCGAAATTGGGGAGAAAAAGGGGGTAAAATACTAAAATCAAATGCAATGAAAAATAAAAGGTCTTACTCACATTGGCTACGAAGAGCGAGATCACACAGTCATCCGGAAGAGCTGGTGCTCTCATGCACGGTTCAGTGTTGCTTGTCTCGAAGAGAGCATAAAAGGCATTTATTTCGTCTGGTAGGTTCGCGTCGCTGGGCAGCTCACGGCTGGGTTTCCCTTTGCAATCTGTGATAGTTTGCAAGCCCTGCCACATCCGTCCAGCATCAGAGCCGGCATAGTAGGATTCGATCTTAGTCCTGTATTGATGCTTTGTCTGTTTGATGGTTCGTCGGAGGTTGTAGCGGGATTTCTTATAAGCGTCCGGTTTAGTGTCCCGCTCCTTAAAAACGTCAGCACTAGCCTTTAGCTCAGTGCGGATGTTGCCTGTAATCCATGGCTTCTGGTTGGGGTAAGTACGTACGTACGTACGGTCACTGTGGGGACGACATCATCAATGCACTTATTAATGAAACCGGTGACTGATGTTGTAAAACTCCTCAATGTTATGGGATGAATCCCGGAACAAATTCTAATCTGTGCTAGCGAAACAGTCCTGTAGCTTAGCAACCGCTTCATCGGAACACTTCCATATTCCGTACATTCGGTTTGTGTTTTTGCTTGTAAGCAGGAAGCAGGAGGATATAGTTATGGTTCTGATTTGCTAAAGGGAGAGCAAGAGTGGGCCCTGTATGCGTTTCTGTGTGTGGAATAAAGGTGATCTAGAGTTTTGAACACCTCTAGTTGTACAGGAGACATGCTGGTAAATATGAGGTAAAACAGTTTCCCTGCATTAAAATCACCGGCCACGAGAAACGCTGCATCTGAATGTGCATTTTCTTGTTTGTTTATGGCCCTAAACAGCTCATTGAGTGCGGTCTTAGTGCCAGCATTGGTTTGTGGTGGTAAATAGACAGCTAGGAATAATATAGATGAAAACTCTCTTGGTAAATACATTTACATTACATTTTAGTCATTTAGCAGACGCTCTTATCCAGAGCGACTTACAGTTAGTGAGTGCATACATTATTATTTTATTTTTGTCATACTGAGTATGGTCTACAGCTTATCATGAGGTATTCTACCTAAGGCGAGCAAAACCTTGAGACTTCCTTAATATTATAGATCGCGCACAACGTTTCTTAACATTATAGATCACGCACAACGTTTCTTAACATGAGAGATTGCGCACAACGTTTCTTAACATGAGAAATCGCGCACAACGTTTCTTAACATTACAGATCGTTCACAACGTTTCTTAACATTTGAGATTGCGCACAACGTTTCTTAACATGAGAAATCGCGCACAACGTTTCTTAACATTACAGATCGTTCACAACGTTTCTTAACATTTGAGATTGCGCACAACGTTTCTTAACATTAGAGATTGCGCACAACGTTTCTTAACATTTGAGATTGCGCACAACGTTTTCCTAACATTTGAGATTGCGCACAACGTTTCTTAACATTAGAGATTGCGCACAACGTTTCTTAACATGAGAAATCGCGCACAACGTTTCTTAACATTACAGATCGTTCACAACGTTTCTTAACATTAGAGATTGCGCACAACGTTTCTTAACATTAGAGACACACATGGAGGTATACACACATTGAGGCCGGGATTCAATCCGATCTCACTTCGTCTACAATGCACTTTTTAAAGACAATCTTCCCGAGTTCGCGGAGACACATTCAAGGTAAATGCTGCGTATGTCGGCTCAAACAGAAATCACCTTCAAATGCTGCATTTTCCAAATCCACGATCCGATTAAATCCCGGCTTTTATTCATTGACAAAATGTACACACAGCAATAGTGATTGGCTGAACATAGTGGGGTGGTAACATTTAAACAGCTAAACCCTCCTCCTCTCCTCTCTTCCTCCAGCACACTCCTCTGAATGCTCCGGGTATCTATATCAGAACCCTGATTCCAGACGGTCCAGCAGCGTCTGACGGGAGGCTGAGGATTGGAGACCGGATACTAGCGGTTAACGGGACCAGCCTGATAGGAGCAGACTACCAGAGGTGAGGATACTAGCGGTTAACGGGACCAGCCTGATAGGAGCAGACTACCAGAGGTGAGGATACTAGCGGTTAACGGGACCAGCCTGATAGGAGCAGACTACCAGAGGTGAGGATACTAGAGGGACCAGCCTGATAGGAGCAGACTACCAGAGGTGAGGATACTAGAGGGACCAGCCTGATAGGAGCAGACTACCAGAGGTGAGGATACTAGAGGGACCAGCCTGATAGGAGCAGACTACCAGAGGTGAGGATACTAGAGGGACCAGCCTGATAGGAGCAGACTACCAGAGGTGAGGATACTAGAGGGACCAGCCTGATAGGAGCAGACTACCAGAGGTGAGGATACTAGAGGGACCAGCCTGATAGGAGCAGACTACCAGAGGTGAGGATACTAGAGGGACCAGCCTGATAGGAGCAGACTACCAGAGGTGAGGATACTAGAGGGACCAGCCTGATAGGAGCAGACTACCAGAGGTGAGGATACTAGCGGTTAACGGGACCAGCCTGATAGGAGCAGACTACCAGAGGTGAGGATACTAGCGGTTAACGGGACCAGCCTGATAGGAGCAGACTACCAGAGGTGAGGATACTAGCGGTTAACGGGACCAGCCTGATAGGCGCAGACTACCAGAGGTGAGGATACTAGCGGTTAACGGGACCAGCCTGATAGGAGCAGACTACCAGAGGTGAGGATACTAGAGGGACCAGCCTGATAGGAGCAGACTACCAGAGGTGAGGATACTAGAGGGACCAGCCTGATAGGAGCAGACTACCAGAGGTGAGGATACTAGAGGGACCAGCCTGATAGGAGCAGACTACCAGAGGTGAGGATACTAGAGGGACCAGCCTGATAGGAGCAGACTACCAGAGGTGAGGATACTAGAGGGACCAGCCTGATAGGAGCAGACTACCAGAGGTGAGGATACTAGAGGGACCAGCCTGATAGGAGCAGACTACCAGAGGTGAGGATACTAGAGGGACCAGCCTGATAGGAGCAGACTACCAGAGGTGAGGATACTAGAGGGACCAGCCTGATAGGAGCAGACTACCAGAGGTGAGGATACTAGAGGGACCAGCCTGATAGGAGCAGACTACCAGAGGTGAGGATACTAGAGGGACCAGCCTGATAGGAGCAGACTACCAGAGGTGAGGATACTAGAGGGACCAGCCTGATAGGAGCAGACTACCTCTCTCCTATCTATCATTAATACTGAATCTCTGGTGATCACTATGTAATACGACTCTACCTCGCTCCTTCTACCCTTCCTCGCTCCTTCTACCCTTCCTCTCTCTCTCTTTCCTTCCTCTCTCTCTACCCTTCCTCTCTCTCTACCCTTCCACTCTCTCTTTCCTTCCTCTCTCTCTTTCTTTCCTCTCTCTCTTTCTTTCCTCTCTCTCTACCCTTCCTCTCTCTCTACCCTTCCTCTCTCTCTACCCTTCCTCTCTCTTTCCTTCCTCTCTCTCTTTCCTTCCTTCCTCTCTCTACCCTTCCTCTCTCTCTACCCTTCCTCTCCCTCTACCCTTCCTCTCTCTCTACCCTTCCTCTCTCTCTTTCCTTCCTCTCTCTCTTTCCTTCCTCTCTCTCTTTCCTCTCCAGTGCTGTGGATCTGATCCGGCTAGGCGGAGGGCGTCTGCGTTTCCTGGTGGCCAAGTCAGACCTGGAGGTCTCAGAGAAGATCAGCGCTTCGTCCTGCTGACTGGTGGGTACGGCAGGAATCTCCACCCCGGAACGCTGCCCACAGCTCCAACCAGGAGAGAGGGGGGAAGAGAGGAAGGAAAGAGGTAGATGACAGGAAGTGTCTGTCAAAGAGAAAGAGGGAGATACGGAGAGCGGAAGAGAGGAGATGGATTCTAGGAAGATGGACAGATCCTGGAATGAGGAGATACTCCTGGGAGGGAGAAAGAGCTTTCCTTCAATCCCAACTATCACATGCACGGACACACACAACTCTAATCTGAAATCAGCCTCATCCTCTTGAATGTAAAAAACAGAACTCAGACGAAGATGGTTGGAAAAAAACTAAAATCCCAAATGAATCGATCAAGCACCAAACACTGGGAAGACTCAGGAGTTTATCAGGAGTTTTTTTTGACAAGAGGAGTCAACAGAGATTTAAAAACCAGACAGACATTCTAATGTTCTTTACTGCACTGTTACTACGGTAACACACACCTGCCTGAATTGGAGGAGGTACCGAGTCACCCTGACTCCCATTATCTCTTGAGTATGACTGCCAAGGCAGTTCGACCAATCACCTGCGAATAGTCAGTGATTGACGCCAAGTCTAACCAATCAGTCTGGTGTTCTTTTAAAGCACAGTAGATTTGGAGGCCGTGGTGCGATTCTCCACCCTTCTCCCCCTGAAGTCAACAATACAATGCTTTCAATCAAACATGTTGTGGGGAATAATCTCAGAAGCAGGTTCCTATGCGTGAACACATCTTTATTAATATTACAACCAAGAGATTAAGCTTTTCTGATATGTTCTTAAACTGGGGGCCACTGTTAACCAATCTGCTGACAAGCACACACGCATGACAAACCATTTGAGATTCAACGAAAGATGTCCAAAATGATGATCGTTGGACTCTCATTGACTATATATACAGTGAGGGAAAAAAGTATTTGATCCCCTGCTGATTTTGTATGTTTTCCCACTGACAAAGAAATGATCAGTCTATAATTTTAATGGTAGGTTTATTTGAACACTGAGAGACAGAATAACAACAACAAAATCCAGAGAAACGCATGTCAAAAATGTTATAAATTGATTTGCATTTTAATGAGGGAAATAAGTATCTGACCCCCTCTCAATCAAAAAGATTTCTGGCTCCCAGGTGTCTTTTATACAGGTAACGAGCTGAAATTAGGAGCACACTCTTAAAGGGAGTGCTCCTAATCTCAGTTTGTTACCTGTATAAAAGACACCTGTCCACAGAAGCAATCAATCAATCAGATTCCAAACTCTCCACCATGGCCAAGACCAAAGAGCTCTCCAAGGATGTCAGGGACAAGATTGTAGACCTACACAAGGCTGGAATGGGCTACAAGACCATCGCCAAGCAGCTTGGTGAGAAGGTGACAACAGTTGTTGCGATTATTCGCAAATGGAAGAAACACAAAATAACTGTCAATCTCCCTCGGCCTGGGGCTCCATGCAAGATCTCACCTCGTGGAGTTGCAATGCTCATGAGAACGGTGAGGAATCAGCCCAGAACTACATGGGAGGATCTTGTCAATGATCTCAAGGCAGCTGGGACCATAGTCACCAAGAAAACAATTGGTAACACACTACGCCGTGAAGGACTGAAATCCTGCAACGCCCGCAAGGTCCCCCTGCTCAAGAAAGCACATATACATGCCCGTCTGAAGTTTGCCAATTAACATCTGAATGATTCAGAGGAGAACTGGGTGAAAGTGTTGTGGTCAGATCGCCGTGTTTGGAGGAGGAGGAATGCTGCCTATGACCCCAAGAACACCATCCCCACCGTCAAACATGGAGGTGGAAACATTATGCTTTGGGGGTGTTTTTCTACTAAGGGGACAGGACAACTTCACCGCATCAAAGGGACGATGGACGGGGCCATGTACCGTCAAATCTTAGGTGAGAACCTCCTTCCCTCAGCCAGGGCATTGAAAATGGGTCGTGGATGGGTATTCCAGCATGACAATGACCCAAATCACACGGCCAAGGCAACAAAGGAGTGGCTCAAGAAGAAGCACATTAAGGTCCTGGAGTGGCCTAGCCAGTCTCCAGACCTTAATCCCATAGAAAATCTGTGGAGGGAGCTGAAGGTTCGAGTTGCCAAACGTCAGCCTCAAAACCTTAATGACTTGGAGAAGATCTGCAAAGAGGAGTGGGACAAAATCCCTCCTGAGATGTGTGCAAACCTGGTGGCCAACTACAAGAAACGTCTGACCTCTGTGATTGCCAACAAGGGTTTTTCCACCAAGTACTAAGTCATGTTTTGCAGAGGGGTCAAATATTAAAATACAAATCAATTTATAACATTTTTGACATGCGTTTTTCTGAATTTTTTTGTTGTTATTCTGTCTCTCACTGTTCAAATAAACCTACCATTAAAATTATAGACTGATCATTTCTTTGTCAGTGGGCAAACGTACAAAATCAGCAGGGGATCAAATACTTTTTTCCCTCACTGTACACACGGTATGTACTAACTGTGTATATATATATGTGTACACTTCCAAACTACACTCTGTAAGGAGCACTGTTGGAGTGACCCTGCTATCTGGACATGCTCTATTGAAGAAGAGTGTCATCATGAACGTTCTGATGTTCTATTGTTCTGGAAGAGTGTCATCATGAACGTTCTGATGTTCTATTGTTCTGGAAGAGTGTCATCATGAACGTTCTGATGTTCTATTGTTCCGGAAGAGTGTCATCATGAACGTTCTGATGTTCTATTGTTCTGGAAGAGTGTCATCATGAGGCCCGTTTATAGCTGATGCTAACCTGTGTCCTGATCCTGTCCACATGTCTAGACCGATGTAGACGATTAGAAGACCTTCCTGACCACCTCCGGAGGTCGTTCTGAGGGCAGCTCCGCCCCAGGGAACTGATGCTAACCTGTGTCCTGATCCTGTCCACATGTCTAGACCGATGTAGACGATTAGAAGACCTTCCTGACCACCTCCGGAGGTCGTTCTGAGGGCAGCTCCGCCCCAGGGAACTGATGCTAACCTGTGTCCTGATCCTGTCCACATGTCTAGACCGATGTAGACGATTAGAAGACCTTCCTGACCACCTCCGGAGGTCGTTCTGAGGGCAGCTCCGCCCCAGGGAACTGATGCTAATCTGTGTCCTGATCCTGTCCACATGTCTAGACCGATGTAGACGATTAGAAGACCTTCCTGACCACCTCCGGAGGTCGTTCTGAGGGCAGCTCCGCCCCAGGGAACTGATGCTAACCTGTGTCCTGATCCTGTCCACATGTCTAGACCGATGTAGACGATTAGAAGACCTTCCTGACCACCTCCGGAGGTTGTTCTGAGGGCAGCTCCGCCCCAGGGAACTGATGCTAACCTGTGTCCTGATCCTGTCCACATGTCTAGACCGATGTAGACGATTAGAAGACCTTCCTGACCACCTCCGGAGGTTGTTCTGAGGGCAGCTCCGCTGCAGGGAACTGGCAGAACAAAGTGATTGGTTGGATGAAAACTCAGTGGGCAGAGCTTGTCTTAGCGACATGACAGTGGGCGGGGTTTACAGGTGAGCGTCAAATAAGAAAAAGGCCTTGGGTGGGAGGTCGCAACCTACATTTGGCTTCTTCACCTGGAGGATTGTCTGAGACCAGCTATCCGGTTTGCCGAGATCGGTGTGGAAGAACTTGACTGGCCTGCACAGAGCCCTAACCTCAACCCCATCGGACACCTTTGGGATGAATTGGAATGCCGACTGCGAGCCAGGCCTAATCGCCCAACATCAGTGCCAGACCTCACTAATGCTCTTGTGGCTGACTGGAAGCAAGTTACCGCAGCAATGTTCCAACATCTAGTGGAAAGCCTTCCCAGAACAGTGGAGGCTGTTATAGCAGCAAAGGGGGGATCAACTCCATATTAATTACCATGATTTTGGAATGAGATGTTCGACGAGCAGGTGTCCATATACTTTTGGCCATGTAGTGTATCATATCATGTAGTGTCTGTGGGGAAATAGTGTTGTGTCACAAGGCCCTCCTCTCTGCTGGCTCACTGGATAAGGCCCTCCTCTCTGCTGGCTCACTGGTGTGGTCCTCTGTAGCTCAGCTGGTAGAGCACGGCGCTTGTAACGCCAAGGTAGTGGGTTCGATCCCCGGGACCACCCATACACAAAAAATGTATGCACGCATGACTGTAAGTCGCTTTGGATAAAAGCGTCTGCTAAATGGCATATTATTATTATTATTATTATAAGGCCCTCCTCTCTGCTGGCTCACTGGATAAGGCCCTCCTCTCTGCTGGCTCACTGGATAAGGCCCTCCTCTCTGCTGGCTCACTGGATAAGGCCCTCCTCTCTGCTGGATCACTGGATAAGGCCCGCCCCTCTGCTGGCTCACTGGATAAGGCCCTCCTCTCTGCTGGCTCACTGGATAAGGCCCTCCTCTCTGCTGGCTCACTGGATAAGGCCCTCCTCCCTGCTGGCTCACTGGATAAGGCCCTCCTCTCTGCTGGCTCACTGGATAAGGCCCTCCTCTCTGCTGGCTCACTGGATAAGGCATTGGAATAGGGACCGGAAGGTTCTAATCTTACCGATGGCCTTTCTCAAAAAAGGTATATTTCAGCGTAAAGCGATACCTCGAGTCAACGGCGCCATCTGCCAATAATTTTAAATGGTTTGATCATCCAGATCAGTTTATACTCATAAGATAAAGATACGTCTCCCTGACTACCTCAGCAGCTGGTCAGAAAGATCTGATTACAATCACTTCTTTTAAAATCGTCCACACCTGGCACAATCAGAATGTGGACAAGATCAGGACACATGTTAGCACCAGGTATAAACGGGGCCTAAAGGAGATTCAAGTGTTCTGCAGCTAAAGCCAATATCCTCATGTGCATCCATCTACACATCAATGACGTTATTATTTGACCTTGTATTTGTGCTTAATTAGTGTAATGATTTGTACCAGTCTGTATTTCACACGTGCGAGCATGTCTCTGATCTCACGTCCGATTATACTTTTCAGTATTTACACTCTTTAGAACCACAGGATTTATTGAATATGAATATGAATAAAACTGTTGACAGGAAGTGACGTCTCCGTGTTTCGGAATCTTTTGGGGGAAAATGTAAACTAAGGTCGGGATCCAATGCCAATGCTATAGGCGCACGATAATGCACTTTTTAAGGGTCACTTACGGTTGAGCTGACATGCACAGCGTTTACCATGAATGCCATCTCCGCAGACGTCTGGGGAAAATGCCTTTAAAAAAACCACGCTGTCGGCTGCACAGTGACTTACGCTATAGTCAGTGTAAACGTTTGTTATTAATTTTTTTTTAAAGACCGTTGGACACAGCAGATGAAAACCAGACCGCTGGACACAGCAGATGAAACCAGACCGTTGGACACAGCAGATGAAACCAGACCGTTGGACACAGCAGATCAATGAGATAATTTTATTTGTGCTACAAATTTTTTAACAGATCACAAACAGAAACATTTAAAAATACATATATATTTTTTTCTCCAAAAAATTGGATAATAGCAGTTATTTAATAGAATAGCAAAATACTTTCTGCAAAAACATACCATGGTCTCAACCCACCTTTAAATACCATGGTCTCAACCCACCTTTAAATACCATGGTCTCAAGCCACCTTTAAATACCATGGTCTCAACCCACCTTTAAATACCATGGTCTCAACCCACCTTTAAATAGCAGTGTTTTTTTTGTTGTTGTTGTAGGTTTTTTTAATGCAACAATCATAGATTTTATATAAAGACTGGTGATCAGCAGACAGTCTAAACGGGACGTTGAGAAACGCCAAACGAGGGAAAAAAACATTTTGAAGTGTTACAAAATCGTGTCCTGATTAGTTAGTTATTAAAAAGACAGGCTAAAGCTGAGGAGTACAACCTATAGAATCTAGTACATTCTAATTCCATATGTAGAACCCCATCTGCACTCTCCTGCAGAGACTAGACACCAGGGAGGGAGAAGAGAAACTACTAGCCTACAGCAGACACTATAGACTGAGTCAGAGAGAAGGTTAGACATAGAGGGTGAGGAATAAAAGAGATAGAAAGGGAGAGAGAGATATAGAGGGAGAGAGAGAGAGATAGAAAGGGAGAGAGAGATAGAAAGGGAGAGAGAGAGAGATAGAAAGGGAGAGAGAGAGAGATAGAAAGGGAGAGGGAGAGAGAGATAGAAAGGGAGAGAGAGAGATAGAAAGGGAGAGAGAGAGAGATAGAAAGGGAGAGAGAGAGAGATAGAAAGGGAGAGAGAGAGAGATAGAAAGGGAGAGGGAGAGAGATAGAAAGGGAGAGGGAGAGCGATAGAAAGGGAGAGAGAGAGAGATAGAAAGGGAGAGAGTTAGAGATAGAAAGGGAGAGAGAGAGAGATAGAAAGGGAGAGGGAGGAGAGATAGAAAGGGAGAGAGAGAGAGAGATAGAAAGGGAGAGATAGAAAGGGAGAGAGAGATAGAAAGGGAGAGAGAGAGAGATAGAAAGGGAGAGCGTTAAGAGGAAAATCGTTTTTTTTTTTTAAACAGTTGTAAATTGTAGCTGCGTAGTTATGTTGAGTTGGTCCCACCCTTCAATTCCCCTGACAAAAGGTTCTTCCTGCTTCCAGAGTATCACAGCCTGCCTCCTGCTACACCATGTAAGGCAGACCTCCAGAAGGTTATAGCTTCTACCTCCTCCCTGCAGTCACAAACACCAGGTCCTGATCTGAAGCGCTCTCGCCGCAATGTTACAAAATAAAAGTCCTGTTCTGAAGAAGTCTGCAACATTACAAAATTAAAGATCTGAAGCGCTCTGTGCAATGTTGCAAAATTAAAGTCCTGCTCTAAAGCCGTCTGCAATGTTACAAAATAAAAGTCCTGTTCTGAAGCGGTCCGCAACGCTACAAAATAAAAGTCCTGTTCTGAAGCAGTCCGCAATGTTACAAAATAAAAGTCCTGTTCTGAAACAGTCCGCAATGTTACAAAATAAAAGTCGTGGTCTGAAGCAGTCCGCAATGTTACAAAATAAAAGTCGTGGTCTGAAGCAGTCCGCAATGTTACAAAATAAAAGTCCTCCTCAACATTAAAAACATGATTTAACATTAAAAAGTAAAAGCTCCCTATATAAACAAAAACAAAAGTAGAAACATTTAAGGCTTTTTAAGGGATAAAATGATCATGATAATGCTAAAATATGAAACTGTACACAGACACACACACACAGCTGGGATCCACACCTGGGTCACACACAGCTGGGATCCACACCTGGGTCAGACACCCTATAGCAGTGGTTCCTCTCCTCGCGGACCCCAGACGTTTCAACCAATGGTGTTGTAGCTCTGAACTAGCTCGCCTGATTCACCCCAATCAGAGGCTTGATAATTAGTTGACCAGTTGAATCAGGTTGAATCAGGTGTGCTTAGGCCCCGTGTAGCTCAGTTGGTAGAGCATGGCGTTTGCAACGCCAGGGTTGTGGGTTCGATTCCCACTGGGGGGACCAGTATGAAAAATGTATGCACTCACTAACTGTAAGTCGCTCTGGATAAGAGCGTCTGCTAAATGACTAACATGTAAACACATGGAACGTCTGGGGGTCCCTGAGGAGAGGTCAGAACTACTGTATTATAGTACAGGGTATTATAGTACAGAGTATTATAGTATAGTACAGAGTATTATAGTATATTACATAGTATTATAGTATATTACATAGTATTATAGTATAGTACAGAGTATTATAGTATAGTACATAGTATTATAGTATAGTACAGAGTATTATAGTATAGTACAGAGTATTATAGTATAGTACAGAGTATTATAGTATAGTACATAGTATTATAGTATATTACATAGTATTATAGTATATTACATAGTATTATAGTATATTACAGAGTATTATAGTATAGTACAGAGTATTATAGTATAGTACAGAGTATTATAGTATAGTACAGAGTATTATAGTATAGTACAGAGTATTATAGTATAGTACAGAGTATTATAGTATAGTACAGAGTATTACAGTATAGTACAGAGTATTACAGTATAGTACATAGTATTATAGTATAGTACAGAGTATTACAGTATAGTACAGAGTATTACAGTATAGTACAGAGTATTACAGTATAGTACAGAGTATTTGCAGTGTGTGTAGTTGACCCAGGTTATAACTCAGCACCTTCTAATGATGAAAATAAACACAATCAGACCGTCTAAATTAGGTTAGCTTCCTCCCTCCGACCTACTCTCCTCTCCTCAGAGACACCAGGTCCTGCAGGGGCCTCCTCTCCTCTCCTCAGAGACACCAGGTCCTGCAGGGGCCTCCTCTCCTCTCCCCAGAGACACCAGGTCCTGCAGGGGCCTCCTCTCCTCCTCCCCTCTCCCCAGAGACACCAGGTCCTACAGGGGCCTCCTCTCCTCCTCCCCAGAGACACCAGGTCCTGCAGGGGCCTCCTCTCCTCCTCTCCTCCTCTCCTGGGCCACGGTGTCTGCTGGTTCTTACCAAACCTTGGTCTTAAAGCACTATTTATTATGTAGGAAAATAGGGTGCCATTTGGTCCGCAGACCTTTATCTACCTGGTGACACCTGGGGTGCGTGACACCAAATGGCACCACAGGGAGAGATCTGGCATCAGGGGTTAAAGGTCAGGGACCTGGCGTCATCTAGCAGTTATTGATCACTGGGCTGTTATTAATCAATACGAGTTATGGATGACTGGTCAGCGATCGTTAATTGACAGCCATCAGTAGGAGGTTAGAGGTCAGGGATGAGAGGGTGAACCGGCAGACACTGGGACCCAGGGGTCAGACTGGTGAGATGGTTCACCCAGAGAGGATCCCCCCCTTCCTCTAGGCACCAGGTTAGGGGGGTTAGAGGTCAGAAGTTCTACTTCCTGTTGTCGTGTGGCTGAGAGCTCATGGCCACGATGACTGGCTGCTGCATGGGAGGAGCCGCCTCGTCGTCCTCCTCCATCTTAGGCCTCTTAGCCTGGGGCTCGCCTGGCACCTCCGGCCCAACATCAGGCCCCGCGCTGGGCTGTCTGCTCACCAGGACTGGGGGGGAGCTGGAGGCCTGGGCTGCCAGGATCTGGAGAGGACTGGTCAGAGCTGGAGGAGGGGAGAGGAAAGCAGAGGAGAAGGAGAGGAGAAGGAGAAGGAGATGAGGGGGGAGAGAGGGATGGGAGGAGAGGGGAGAGAGGGATGGGAGGAGAGGGGGGAGAGGGATGGGAGGAGAGGGGAGGAGGGATGGGAGGAGAGGGGAGGGGGGATGGGAGGAGAGGGGAGGGGGGATGGGAGGAGAGGGGAGGGGGGGATGGGAGGAGAGGAGAGGGGGGATGGGAGGAGAGGAGGGGGGATGGGAGGGGAGGGGAGATGGGAGGGGAGGGGGAGTGCAGAGAGAAAGTCAACTTCAACAACATAATGAGACATAACTCACCATAGATCAATGACATTAACATACCAACCACGTCAACGACAAACACTGGCTGCTAAGGTAGCCGTACCGTAAGCGTTGGCGACGCTGGTAGTCGTGGCGACGGCAGTGTGTTTGCCGTTCTGAGTGACGGGGCGGACAGGGAGCTGGTGCAGCCCCAGAGATAGGCCACGCCCCTCCGACCCCTGACCCCCCTGCTGAGCTCCCTCCAACGACTGGATCACTCGTTCCCTAGTCTGCTGCTGCATGTCTGGGGGGACATGTATTCATATATTAATACTCAACAAAAATACAGACGCAACATGTAAAGCTCCCTCCAACGACTGGATCACTCGTTCCCTAGTCTGCTGCTGCATGTCTATATAGGACATGTATTCATATATTAATACTCAACAAAAATACAGACGCAACATGTAAAGTGTTTGTCCCATGTTTCATGAGCTGAAATAAAAGAGCCCAGAAATATTCCAGACGCACAAAAAGCTGATTTCTCTCAAATGTTGGGCACAAATTTGTTTACATCCCTATATACACACACACATATATATATATATACACATATACATATATACATATACATATATATATATATATATATATATATATATATATATATATATATATATATATATATATATATATATATATGCACACACACTACCGTTCAAAAGTTTGGGGTTCACTTAGAAATTTCCTTGTTTTCGAAAGAAAAGCAATTTTTTGGTCCATTAAAATACAGTGTAGACATTGGTAATGTTGTAAATGGCTATATTAAAACTTTTGACCGGGAGTATATATATATATATATATATATATATACATACATACAGTGGGGAAAAAAAGTATTTAGTCAGCCACCAATTGTGCAAGTTCTCCCACTTAAAAAGATGAGAGAGGCCTGTAATTTTCATCATAGGTACACGTCAACTATGACAGACAAATTGAGAAAAAAAAATCCAGAAAATCACATTGTCGGATTTTTAATGAATTTATTTGCAAATTATGGTGGAAAATAAGTATTTGGTCACCTACAAACAAGCAAGATTTCTGGCTCTCACAGACCTGTAACTTCTTTTTTAAGAGGCTCCTATGTCCCCCACTCGTTACCTGTATTAATGACACCTGTTTGAACTTGTTATCAGTATAAAAGACACCTGTCCACAGCCTCAAACAGTCACACTCCAAACTCCACTATGGCCAAGACCAAAGAGCTGTCAAAGGACACCAGAAACAAAATTGTAAACCTGCACCAGGCTGGGAAGACTGAATCTGCAATAGGTAAGCAGCTTGGTTTGAAGAAATCAACTGTGGGAGCAATTATTAGGAAATGGAAGACATACAAGACCACTGATAATCTCCCTCGATCTGGGGCTCCACGCAAGATCTCAAACCATGGGGTCAAAATGATCACAAGAACGGTGAGCAAAAATCCCAGAACCACACGGGGGGACCTAGTGAATGACCTGCAGAGAGCTGGGACCAAAGTAACAAAGCCTACCATCAGTAACACACTATGCCGCCAGGGACTCAAATCCTGCAGTGCGAGACGTGTCCCCCTGCTTAAGCCAGTACATGTCCAGGCCCGTCTGAAGTTTGCTAGAGTGCATTTGGATGATCCAGAAGAGGATTGGGAGAATGTCATATGGTCAGATGAAACCAAAATATAACTTTTTGGTAAAAACTCAACTCGTCGTGTTTGGAGGACAAAGAATGCTGAGTTGCATCCAAAGAACACCATACCTACTGTGAAGCATGGGGGTGGAAACATCATGCTTTGGGGCTGTTTTCTGCAAAGGGACCAGGACGACTGATCCGTGTAAAGGAAAGAATGAATGGGGCCATGTATCGTGAGATTTTGAGTGAAAACCTCCTTCCATCAGCAAGGGCATTGAAGATGAAACGTGGCTGGGTCTTTCAGCATGACAATGATCCCAAACACACCGCCCGGGCAACGAAGGAGTGGCTTCGTAAGAAGCATTTCAAGGTCCTGGAGTGGCCTAGCCAGTCTCCAGATCTCAACCCCATAGAAAATCTTTGGAGGGAGTTGAAAGTCCGTGTTGCCCAGCGACAGCCCCAAAACATCACTGCTCTAGAGGAGATCTGCATGGAGGAATGGGCCAAAATACCAGCAACAGTGTGTGAAAACCTTGTGAAGACTTACAGAAAACGTTTGACCTGTGTCATTGCCAACAAAGGGTATATAACAAAGTATTGAGAAACGTTTGTTATTGACCAAATACTTATTTTCCACCATAATTTGCAAATAAATTCATTAAAAATCCTACAATGTGATTTTCTGGAAAAAAAATTCTCATTTTGTCTGTCATAGATGACGTGTACCTATGATGAAAATTACAGGCCTCTCTCATCTTTTTAAGTGGGAGAACTTGCACAATTGGTGGCTGACTAAATACTTTTTTTCCCCACTGTATATATACATATACATACACACACACACACACACACACACACACAGTATGCAACATATCCATGATATACAGTTGAAGTCGGAAGTTTACATACACTTAGGTTGGAGTCATTAAAACTCATTTTTCAACCACTCCACAAATGTCTTGTTAACAAACTATAGTTTTTGCAAGTCGGTTAGGACATCTACTTTGTGCAATTTTTCCAACAATTGTTTACAGACAGATTATTTCACTTATAATTCACTGAATCACAATTCCAGTGGGTCAGAAGTTTATATACACTAAGTTGAATGTGCCTTTAAACAGCTTGGAAAATTCCAGAAAATGATGTTATGGCAGCCAAGACCTCAGAAAAAAATGTGTAGACCTCCACAAGTCTGGTTCATCCTTGGGAGCAATTTCCAAACACCTGAAGGTACCACGTTCATCTGTACAAACAATAGTACGCAAGTATAAACACCATGGGACCACGCAGCCGTCATACCGCTCAGGAAGGAGACGCGTTCTGTCTCCTAGAGATGAACGTACTTTGGTGTGAAAAGTGCAAATCAATCCCAGAACAACAGCAAAGGACCTTGTGAAGATGCTGGAGGAAACAGGTACAAAAGTATCTATATCCACAGTAAAACGAGTCCTATATCGACATAACCTGAAAGGCCGCTCAGCAAGGAAGAAGCCACTGCTCCAAAACCGCCATAAAAAAGCCAGACTACAGTTTGCAACTGCACATGGGGACAAAGATCATACTTTTTGGAGAAATGTCCTCTGGTCTGATGAAACAGAAATAGAACTGTTTGGCCATAATGACCATCGTTATGTTTGGAGGAAAAAGGGGGACGCTTGCAAGCCGACAAACACCATCCCAACCGTGAAGCACGGGGGTGGCAGCATCATGCTGTGGGGGTGCTTTGCTGCAGGAGGGACTGGTGCACTTCACAAAATAGATGGCATCATGAGGAAGGAAAATTGTGGATATATTGAAGCAACATCTCAAAACATCAGTCAGGAAGTTAAAGATTGGTCGCAAATGGGTCTTCCAAACGGACAATGACCCCAAGCATACTTCCAAAGTTGTAGCAAAATGGCTTAAGGACAACAATGTCAAGGTATTGGAGTGGCCATCACAAAGCCCTGACCTCAATCCTATAGAAATGTGTGGGCAGAACTGAAAAGGCATGTGCGAGCAGGGAGGCCTACAAACCTGACTCAGTTACACCTGCTCTGTCAGGAGGAATGGGCCAAAATTCACCCAACTTATTGTGGGAAGCTTGTGGAAGGCTACCCGAAACGTTTGACCCAAGTTAAACAATTTAAAGGCAATGCTACCAAATACTAATTGAGTGCATGTAAACTTCTGACCCACTGGGAATGTGATGAAAGAAATAAAAGCTGAAATAAATAATTATCTAATATTATTCTGACATTTCACATTCTTAAAATAAAGTGGTGATCCTAACTGACCTAAGACATGGAATTTTTACTAGGATTAAATGTCAGGAATTGTGAAAAACTGAGATTAAATGTATTTGGCTAAGGTGTATGTAAAATTCCGACTTCAACTGTATATATAATATGTGGTCCTCTGTAGCTCAATTGGTAGAGCATGGCGCTTGTAACGCCAGGGTAGTGGGTTCGATCCCCGGGACCACCCATACGTAAAAATGTATGCGCACAAGACTGTAAGTCGCTTTGGATAAAAGCGTCTGCTAAATGGCATATTATTATTATTATTATATTATTATATACATTTTACATTTTACATTTTAGTCATTTAGCAGACGCTCTTATCCAGAGCGACTTAGAGTTAGTGAATACATATTTTTTTATACTGGCCCCCCGTGGGAATCGAACCCACAACCCTGGCGTTGCAAACGCCATGCTCTATCAACTGAGCTACATCCCTGCCGGCCATTCCCTCCCCTACCCTGGACGACGCTGGGCCAATTGTGCGCCGCCACCATGGGTCTCCCATAGTTTTGATGTCTTCACTATTATTCTACAATGTAGAAAATAGTAAAAATAAAGAAAAACCCTTGAATGAGTAGGTGTTCTAAAACGTTTGACCGGTAGTGTATATACCGGTACTATATAGTGGGGAGAACAAGTATTTGATACACTGCCCATTTTGCAGGTTTTCCTACTTACAAAGTATGTAGAGGTCTGTAATTTTTTATCATAGGTACACTTCAACTGTGAGAGACGGAATCTAAAACCAAAATCCAGAACATCACATTGTATGATTTTTAAGTAATTAATTTGCATTTTATTGCATGACATAAGTATTTGATACATCAGAAAAGCAGAACTTAATATTTGGTACAGAAACCTTTGTTTGCAATTACAGAGATCATACCTGTAGGTCTTGACCAGGTTTGCACACACTGCAGCAGGGATTTTGGCCTACTCCTCCATACAGACCTTCTCCAGATCCTTCAGGTTTCGGGGCTGTCGCTGGGCAATACGGACTTTCAGCTCCCTCCAAAGATTTTCCATTGGGTTCAGGTCCAGAGACTGGCTAGGCCACTCCAGGACCTTGAGATGCTTCTTACGGAGCCACTCCTTAGTTGCCCTGGCTGTGTGTTTCGGGTCGTTGTCATGCTGGAAGACCCAGCCACGACCCATCTTCAATGCTCTTACTGAGGGAAGGAGGTTGTTGGCCAAGATCTCACGATACATGGCCCCATCCATCCTCCCCTCAATACAGTGCAGTCGTCCTGTCCCCTTTGCAGAAAAGCATCCCCAAGGAATGATGTTTCCACCTCCATGCTTCACGGTTAGAATGGTGTTCTTGGGGTTGTACTCTTCCTTCTTCTTCCTCCAAACACGCCAAGTGGAGTTTAGACCAAAAAGCTCTATTTTTGTCTCATCAGACCACATTACCTTCTCCCATTCCTCATCTGGATCATCCAGATGGTCATTGGCAAACTTCAGACGGGCCTGGACATGCGCTGGCTTGAGCAGGGGGACCTTGCGTGCGCTGCAGGATTTTAATCCATGACGGCGTAGTGTGTTACTAATGGTTTTCTTTGAGACTGTGGTCCCAGCTCTCTTCAGGTCATTGACCAGGTCCTGCCGTGTAGTTCTGGGCTGATCCCTCACCTTCCTCATGATCATTGATGCCCCACGAGGTGAGATCTTGCATGGAGCCCTAGACCGATCTTGCATGGAGCCCATTGACCGTCATCTTGAACTTCTTCCATTTTCTAATAATTGCGCCAACAGTTGTTGCCTTCTCACCAAGCTGCTTGCCTATTGTCCTGTAGCCCATCCCAGCCTTGTGCAGGTCTACAATTTGATCCCTGATGTCCTTACACAGCTCTCTGGTCTTGGCCATTGTGGAGAGGTTGGAGTCTGTTTGATTGAGTGTGTGGACAGGTGTCTTTTATACAGGTAACGAGTTCAAACAGGTGCAGTTAATACAGGTAATGAGTGGAGAACAGGAGGGCTTCTTAAAGAAAAACGAACAGGTCTGTGACAGCCGGAATTCTTACTGGTTGGTAGGTGATCAAATACTTATGTCATGCAATAAAATGCAAATTAATTACTTAAAAATCATACAATGTGATTTTCTGGATTTTTGTTTTAGATTCCGTCTCTCACAGTTGAAGTGTACCTATGATAAAAATTACAGACCTCTACATGCTTTGTAAGTAGGAAAACCTGCAAAATCGGCAGTGTATCAAATACTTGTTCTCCCCACTGTATGTATGTATATATGTATCTATACACACAAACACACACAGTATGCAACATATCCAAATGGAGACCTAGACCCTACCCACAATACACTTGTGGAGATTTCAGAGGAGTTGATTGGTAGAAGCAATATGGTTAAATTTCCACCTAGCCAATCAGAGGGCAAGGTAGAGCTATTACCATATTACCATATCACCATATTACCATATCACCATCTCACTATATTACCATATCACCATATTAACATATTACCATATCACCATATCACCCTATTACAATACCACCATATTACCATATCACCATCTCACTATATTACCATATCACCATATTACCATATCACCATATTACCATATCACCATCTCACTATATTACCATATCACCATATCACCATCTCACTATATTACCATATCACCATATCACCATATTACCATATCACCATCTCACTATATTACCATATCACCATATTAACATATTACCATATCACCATATCACCCTATTACAATACCACCATATTACCATATCACCATCTCACTATATTACCATATCACTATATCACCATATTACCATATCACTATATTACCATATTACCATATCACTATATTACCATATTACCATATCACCATATTACCATCTCACTATATTACCATATCACCATCTCACCATCTCACTATATTACCATATTACCATATCACCATCTCACTATATTACCATATCACCATCTCACTATATTACCATATCACCATATTAACATATTACCATATCACCATCTCACCCTATTACAATATCACCATATCACCATATTACCATATCACCATCTCACTATATTACCATATCACTATATTACCATATCACTATATCACCATATTACCATATCACTATATTACCATATTACCATATCACTATATTACCATATTACCATATCACCATATTACCATATCACCATCTCACTATATTACCATATCACCATCTCACTATATTACCATATCACCATCTCACTATATTACCATATTACCATATCACCATCTCACTATATTACCATATCACCATCTCACTATATTACCATATCACCATATTAACATATTACCATATCACCATCTCACCCTATTACAATATCACCATATCACCATATTACCATATCACCATATTACCATATCACCATATCACCATATTACCATATCACCATATTACCATATCACCATATCACCATATTACCATATCACCATATCACCATATCACCATATCACCATATTACCATATCACCGTATCACCAACACCTGTGAAATCCTCTCAGATTGTCTAGGGTCTAGGGGTCCATTTGGGATTGGGCCACAGTCTCGCCGTACCTCTATGCTCGCCGCTGCCCTCTGCTCCCTGCTGGCCAGCGCTGGTATTACCATGACTCTGTCCCCCCCCGGGGGTGAGGATGTACCCGTTGGCGGGGTGAGAGGCCGTAGCCGTGGTGACCAGACGGAGCATGGTGAGGGTACTGGGGGGGCTCTGCAGCATGTGGAGGGTCTGTCCCCCACCGAACAAGGCTAGGGGTTTACCCATCCCCGAGGGCAGGGGGTGGGGCGGGGCAGCCATGATCACAGGCTGGCCGTGAACTGGAGAACCTGGGGGGAGGGTGGGGGAAAAACACACCTTCTTTAGTTGTGATGTCTGAGCATCTGTAGAGGTGTTCCTACCTGTGTATCTGTGTATCTGGTACGGAGGATAGTTTACAGGGTAGATGTGTTCCTACCTGTGTATCTGTGTATCTGCTACGGAGGATAATTTACAGGGTAGATAGGTTCCTACCTGTGTATCTGTGTATCTGGTACGGAGGATAGTTTACAGGGTAGATGTGTTCCTACCTGTGTATCTGTGTATCTGGTACGGAGGATAGTTTACAGGGTAGATGTGTTCCTACCTGTGTATCTGTGTATCTGGTACGGAGGATAGTTTACAGGGTAGATGTGTTCCTACCTGTGTATCTGGTACGGAGGATAGTTTACAGGGTAGATGTTTTTCCACCTGTGAAACCCTGTTTCTGTACGGGGGATGTTTAAAAGGGTAGTTTTGTTTCCTACCTGTGTATTTTGGTATCGGGTTACGGAATAGTTTACGGGGTAGATGGGGTTCCAAAACCTTTGTGAAATCGGGGTACCCTGGTACGGAGGTATTTTACAGGGTAGATTTTTCCCCCTACCTGTTTATCTGTTTTCCCTGGTAGGGGGAAATATTTACAGTGTAGGTGGGGTCCTACCTGGGGGCTCTGTTTTTTTTTACTCTGGTCGGGGGCCCCTTATGGCCGGTCCCGGTGGGGGGGTGGGGTCATAAACAAGGAGCCCCCTCTCTAAGAGACACTCGGGGGGTCGGGCCACCACTGGGGGGGGGGGAGGAACCCGGGTTTGGGGGGGGAAAGGCTGGGGCACTCCTAGAGGGGAAAGGGGGGAGAGGGGAGATGGGGAGGGGGAAAAATGGAAAAGGAGATGGGAAGAGGGGAAAGGGGGAAAAGGGGAAATAGGGGGGGGGTTTTTTTTTTTGGGCTTTTTTTTGGAAATCCCAAACACAGTCCCCCAAAAAACCCCACAAACCCTCAAGTCAAACACGGTCCTTCGTAAAAAACCAAAACTAACTAAATTTCAAACAGGGCCCCCTTTTCCAGAAAAACCCCCCAAAACCTCAAGTCAAACACGGTCCTTCAGTAAAACACACTAACTCAAGTCAAACACGTCCTTCAGTAAAACACACTAACTCAAGTCAAAAGCTTGTACTTCAGTAGACGCCCAAACACAACTCAGAGTCCCACTAACACTACCTATCAAGTCCCTCAAAACACCTACTCAGTCAACACGGCCGTCATAAACCATAACTCATCAGGTCAAACACTCAGTAAACACGCCATGAACCCAAAACTCCTTCTAAACACACTAACTCAAGCAACACTAAGGTCTTTAGAACAGAAGCAACACCTCAGACCCCTACGTCTAAAAAACCTCAGTAAACACACAACTGCAGATTAAACGCTGTTCATAACATACAGAGGAGAGAGAGAGAGAACAAAGTTAACTAGAGAACAGATGAAATGGAGACAGAAGAGATAGAGAAGAGCAGAAAACACGCAGGATGTTCCAACCCCTCATCAACTAACCCCGTAAGAAGAGAGAACTCACAGACAGCGACGCACTCCAAACGACACAAAAAAGACACCTAACAAGAGAGCAAGACAAGTAGTCAATAATCAATGAGACAGAGCAGAGAGAAGATGATAGGATTAACAGACGAAGAAGAGTCAGAAAATTAGAGAGCGAAGATGATCAGAAGAACAGATAGAGAAGAGAGACGAAGAATAGAGAGACAGAAGATAGAGAGAGAGAGAGACAGAGAACAGAGATATATGTAATGAGAGAGTAGAGAGAGAGAGAGAAGAGAGAGAGAGGAGGTTAGATAGGAGAAACAGAAGAGAAAGATAACATAAGAGAGATAAAAGAGAAAAAGACGGAGATAAGTAAGAGAGAGATGAGAGTATATACAGAGAAAGACCAGAGAGAGTATATAAGTACAGAAGAGAGATGAGAGATACGAGAGAGGAATGAAGAGAGCAAGAGCAGAGAGAGTTAGAAAAGAAGTAGAACTTTCGAGAGAAAGAGAGAGAGAGAGAGTAAGATAGAGATAGAGAGAAAAGAATGAGAGATAAGAGAAAGTACAAGAGAGAGAGAGAGAGAGAGAGAGAGAAGAGAGAGAGTGGAGTTTACATATACAGATTATAACTGTTTAACTGAGGGTTTACAGGTCATACTACATCAAGGAGAAGGGTCTAAAGAGAGGCTACTGTGTATCAGGTTTTCCCTCCACCCTGCAACAACAAAACCGGGGTTCTCTACAGTTGTTTCACAACCTTCTTTAGCTGAATCAGCTGCGTTACCTAAGGCCAGGGGTTCAGAGGTCAGGGGTCGTACCTGGATGAGAGCGGTCCGAACGGCGTGCGGAAGCAGGCCACGCCCCGCTGCCGTCTCTTCCTGAAGGCTTGCTCCACCAGCTTCCCCTCTGAGGCCGAGTCCACGCGCCAGAAACTACCTTTCCCAGGCTCCTCCTGGCTCCGAGCCACCTTCAGGAAGTAACGGTTCAGGGACAGGTTGTGGCGGATGGAGTTCTGGGAACGGAGGAGGGAGGACAGCTGGTGTTACTTTGGGATTTACACAAGAAACAGTTTTTATTTACTTGGTAGAGGGACAACAATCTTCCATCAAAAACCTGGTTACCTTCCTGGTTTAGGTACGGTAGTAGGGGTAGTGTCTGGTGATTTTGGTATTCCCCCGTCCAGCGGTACGGTAGTAGGGGATGTGCTGTGATGTGTAGTTACCCGTCAGCGGTACGGTAGTAGGGGTAGTTGTCTGGTGATGTGTAGTTACCTGTCAGCGGACGGTATAGGGTATGTCCTGGTATGTGTAGTTACCTGTCAGCGGTACGGTAGTAGGGGTAGTGTCTGGTGATGTGTAGTTACCTGTCAGCGGTACGGTAGTAGGGGTAGTGTCTGGTGATGTGTAGTTACCTGTCAGCGGTACGGTAGTAGGGGTAGTGTCTGGTGATGTGTAGTTACCTGTCAGCGGTACGGTAGTAGGGGTAGTGTCTGGTGATGTGTAGTTACCTGTCAGCGTACGGTAGTAGGGGTAGTGTCTGGTGATGTGTAGTTACCGTCAGCGTACGGTAGTAGGGTAGTGTCTGGTGATGTGTAGTTATTTCGGGGTTTCTTTTTAACTGGTCAGCGGTACGGTAGTAGGGTAATGTCTGGTGATGTGTAGTTACCTGTCAGCGGTACGGTAGTAGGGGTAGTGTCTGGTGATGTGTAGTTACCTGTCAGCGGTACGGTAGTAGGGGTAGTGTCTGGTGATGTGTAGTTACCTGTCAGCGGTACGGTAGTAGGGGTAGTGTCTGGTGATGTGTAGTTACCTGTTCCAGCGGTACGGTAGTAGGGGTAGTGTCTGGTGATGTGTTATTACCTGTCAGCGGTAACGGTATAGGGGTAGTGTCTGGTGATGTTGTAGTTTACCTGTCAGCGGTACGGTAGTAGGGTATGTGTCTGGTGAAAGTGTAGTTTAAACCCGTCAGCGGTACGGTAGTAGGGGTAGTGTCTGGTGATGTGTAGTTACCTGTCAGCGGTACGGTAGTAGGGGTAGTGTCTGGTGATGTGTAGTTACCTGTCAGCGGTACGGTAGTAGGGGTAGTGTCTGGTGATGTGTAGTTACCTGTCAGCGGTACGGTAGTAGGGGTAGTGTCTGGTGATGTGTAGTTACCTGTCAGCGGTTACGGTAGTAGGGGTAGTGTCTGGTGATGTGTAGTTTACCTGGTCAGCGGTACGGTAGTAGGGGTAGTGTCCCTGGTGATGTGTAGTTACCTGTCAGCGGTACGGTAGTAGGGGTAGTGTCTGGTGATGTGTAGTTACCTGTCAGCGGTACGGTAGTAGGGGTAGTGTTCTGGTGATGTGTAGTTACCCTGTCAGCGGTACGGTAGTAGGGGTAGGGTCTGGTGATGTGTAGTTACCTGTCAGCGGTTTCGGTAGTAGGGGTAGTGTCTGGTGATGTGTAGTTACCTGTCAGCGGTACGGTAGTAGGGGTAGTGTCTGGTGATGTGTAGTTACCTTTTCAGCGGTACGGTAGTAGGGGTAGTGTCTGGTGATGTGTAGTTACCTGCCAGCCCTTGTCAGCGGTACGGTAGTAGGGGTAGTGTCTGGTGATGTGTAGTTACCTGTCAGCGGTACGGTAGTAGGGGTAGTGTCTGGTGATGTGTAGTTACCTGTCAGCGGTACGGTAGTAGGGGTAGTGTCTGGTGATGTGTAGTTACCTGTCAGCGTACGGTAGTAGGGGTAGTGTCTGGTGATGTGTAGTTACCTGCAGCGGTCGGTAGTAGGGGTAGTGTCCCGGTGATGTGTAGTTACCTGTCAGCGGTACGGTAGTAGGGGTATGTCTGGTGAATGTGTATACCTGCCAGCGACGGTAGTGGGGTAGTTCTGGTGAGTTAGTTACCTGCAGCGGTACGGTAAGGGGTAGTCGTCTGGTGATGTGGTTTAAATTACCTGTCAGCGGTAACGGTAGTAGGGGTAGTGTCTGGTGATGTGTGTTACCTGTCCGTAGTAGTAGGGTAGTGGGCCCGGTGATGTGAGTTCCTGCAGCGTACGGAGTGGGCGTAGCTGGGAGGTATGACCTTCAGCGGTACGGTAAGGCGTAGCGGGGGTTTTTAACCGTCAGCACTAAAGGACTATTGATTACCGTCACGACGTAGTAGGGGTTCGGAAGTAGTACCTCACAACAGTAGGGGTTCATGTATACCTGCCACCGCCCACAGTAATGTCTGGGTTAACCCAGCACAGTAGGGGAAACAACCCACAAACTAGGGGACGGGGTAGACCCACCGAGGAGGTATAGGGGGGGTGAAGCCCTCTGTAGTGTAGCCAGCAGCGACGGAAGGTAGTTGCGTACGTAGATACCATGATCAGCCGGTCCGGTAGAAGGAGGATAGGTAGGCTGAAGTGGATGATGAATCCCGAGCCTTTCACTCAGTAGTGAGGGGTTTTAGTAGCTGTATCAGTTGTTACTAGCCCCCCCTCACACGTTATACTAGTGACGTATGTTTACTGTACTCCTGTCACGTACGGTATAGTTCTGGGTTTTGTAGTACCTCCAGCCTTGTCACGGTACGGAGTGGGGTAGTGTTGGGATTTATTACCCCCTTTTGCGGCGGGAGGGGGTTTTGTGCTGGGAGGGTTTAAGAGGGAAAGGTAGGGGGAAGGGGTCTGTGTGTGTTCCGTGGGTCCCGGGGGGGATTTCCCATGTGGGAAAAACCTTTTCAGGGGACAATAAATTTTTGGGGGGTTTATTTCCCGCATCCCAATAGGGGGATTCTGGGGGGGTTTTTGCCCGTCCCCTCGGAGTAGCATCACTAGAGTAGTACACCTGCATCGTATGTCAGACGTAGGCCGACACTGGTAGGTAGGACTTGGACTCATCCTGGATAAGAGAGGAGAGGGGGGTTAACACACACACACACACACAGTAGATACACACACACACACACAGTAGATACACACACACACAGTAGATACACACACACACAGTAGATACACACACACAATAGACACACACACAATAGACACACACACAATAGACACACTAGACACACACACACACAGTAGACACACACACACACACACACACACACACAGTAGACACACACACACGGAGTGAGGTATACCCTGGGGCTGTCTCCGCCGCCGGACTCTCCCTGTTGCTCGGCAACGCCCCTCTGTTGCTCGGAGACAGCCTTTGCAGCGAACTCTGCAGCCAGCTGGAGGTCGGAGGTCACGTTGCGTCCGTAGCGATAACCCGATGACCCCGCACCCCTCGGACTGGCCGGGCACGAGTTAGGAACACTGGAGAGGAGAGGAGAGGAGGAGGAGGAGAGAAAGATGAAGATCTAGAATAGAATGGGATAATTCCACCTAATTGAATTGCACTGAGACTCTTGACTTTCACTTCAAATGGATGCCAAACAGAAATCATTGATTTCAAAGTCTAACAAACCATACAACTCTATAAGGACTGCTTTTAACTATTTACACTGAACATTTTCCAATAACACATTTACTGGAAGAACTGTGCAGATTTACTGTACAGCACTGTACTCTACTCTGTACTACTGTATATACTCTACTCTGCTGTACTCTACTCTGTACTACTGTATATACTCTACTCTGCTGTACTCTACTCTGTACTACTGTATATACTCTACTCTGCTGTACTCTACTCTGTACTACTGTATATACTCTACTCTGCTGTACTCTACTCTGTACTACTGTATATACTCTACTCTGTACTACTGTATATACTCTACTCTGCGGTACTCTACTCTGTACTACTGTATATACTCTACTCTGCTGTACTCTACTCTGCTGTACTCTACTCTGCTGTACTCTACTCTGACTAGTATATACTCTACTCTGCTGTACTCTACTCTGACTACTGTATAACTCTACTCGCTGTACTCTACTCTGTACTACTGTATATAACTCTACTCGTTACTCTGCTGTATCTACTCTGCTTACTCTACTCTGTACTACTCGTACTACTGTACTCTACTCTGTTACTCTACTCTGTACTATGTATACTCTACTCTGCTGTACTCTACTCTGCTTGTTACTCTATCTGCTTATCTCTACTCTGTATTACTTACTTGCTGTACTCTACTCTGTACTACTGTACTACTCTGCTACTCTTACTCTGCTGTACTCTACTTTACTCTACTCTGTACTACTGTATACTATACTCTATTCTGCTGTACTCTACTCTGTTGTACTCTACTCTGCTGTACTCTACTCTGTACTACTGTATATACTCTACTCTGCTGTACTCTACTCTGTACTACTGTATATACTCTACTCTGCTGTACTCTACTCTGCTGTACTCTACTCTGTACTACTGTATATACTCTACTCTGCGGTACTCTACTCTGTACTACTGTATATACTCTACTCTGCTGTACTCTACTCTGCTGTACTCTACTCTGATGTGCTCGGACAAGTAGGACTGATTTGTTACTTGTCCGAAAGCTCAAGGTACTTGTCCCCAAAAAGGTCTGTATCACCATAGGGACAAAAAGGAGACTGAAAATGGTGTTGTATGATGCAAGGAACCACTTCATTAAATAACCTTCATTATTATCACTGGTATTGACAAGGCACTTAACCCCCCACAAAGTAAAATACTGCACTGATAAAAACACATGTGGTCCGTCAACCCTCCATCTGGAGAGCTACTGGGTGTGCAGGCTTTTGATCCAACCCTGCTCAAAACACACCAGTCTGCTTATCAAAGTCCTGTTGAGCAGCTGATTTTTTACAATGTGGTGTTTTTTTTAAATTATTTTTATTTTTATTTTATTTTTTATTTTTTAGCAGACGCTCTTATCCAGAGCGACTTACATGAGCAATTAGGGTTAAGTGCCTTGCTCAAGGGCACATCGACAGATTTTTCACCTAGTCGGCTCGGGGATTAGAACCAGCGACCTTTCGGTTACTGGCACAACGCTCTTAACCACTAAGAGCAGGGCTGGAGCAAAAGCCTGCACACCCAGCATCTCTCCTGGAGGATGGTTGGCCTCCCTGAACTAACACACCTGATTGAAGTAGTCAAGGGCTTGATGATTCGTTGACAAGTTGAATCAGGTCTGCTAGCTCTGGAATGGTTCAAATACATGGAACGTCTGGGGGTCCCTGAGGAGAGGTTTTAAACTGAATATAATGAACGTCTGGGGGTCCCTGAGGAGAGGTTTTAAACTGAATATAATGAACGTCTGGGGGTCCCTGAGGAGAGGTTTTAAACTGAATATAATGAACGTCTGGGGGTCCCTGAGGAGAGGTTTTACACTGAATATAATGAACGTCTGGGGGTCCCTGAGGAGAGGTTTTACACTGAATATAATGAACGTCTGGGGGTCCCTGAGGAGAGGTTTTACACTGAATATAATGAACGTCTGGGGGTCCCTGAGGAGAGGTTTTAAACTGAATATAATGAACGTCTGGGGGTCCTGAGGAGAGGTTTTAAACTGAATATAATGAACGTCTGGGGGTCCCTGAGGAGAGGTTTTAAACTGAATATAATGAACGTCTGATGGCCCCTGAGGAGAGGTTTTAAACTGAATATAATGAACGTCTGGGGGTCCCTGAGGAGAGGTTTTAAACTGAATATAATGAACGTCTGGGGGTCCCCGAGGAGAGGTTTTAAACTGAATATAATGAACGTCTGGGGGTCCCTGAGGAGAGGTTTTAAACTGAATATAATGAACGTCTGATGGCCCCCGAGGAGAGGTTTTAAACTGAATATAATGAACGTCTGGGGGTCCCTGAGGAGAGGTTTTAAACTGAATATAATGAACGTCTGGGGGTCCCTGAGGAGAGGTTTTAAACTGAATATAATGAACGTCTGGGGGTCCCTGAGGAGAGGTTTTAAACTGAATATAATGAACGTCTGATGGCCCCTGAGGAGAGATTTTAAACTGAATATAATGAACGTCTGGGGGCCCCTGAGGAGAGGTTTTAAACTGAATATAATGAACGTCTGGGGGTCCCTGAGGAGAGGTTTTAAACTGAATATAATGAACGTCTGATGGCCCCAGAGGAGAGGTTTTAAACTGAATATAATGAACGTCTGGGGGCCCCAGAGGAGAGGTTTTAAACTGAATATAATGAACGTCTGATGGCCCCTGAGAGGTTTTAAACTGAATATAATGAACGTCTGATGGCCCCTGAGGAGAGATTTTAAACTGAATATAATGAACGTCTGGGGGCCCCTGAGGAGAGGTTTTAAACTGAATATAATGAACGTCTAGGGGTCCCTGAGGAGAGGTTTTAAACTGAATATAATGAACGTCTGATGGCCCCAGAGGAGAGGTTTTAAACTGAATATAATGAACGTCTGGGGCCCCAGAGGAGAGGTTTTAAACTGAATATAATGAACGTCTGATGGCCCCTGAGAGGTTTTAAACTGAATATAATGAACGTCTGATGGCCCCTGAGAGGTTTTAAACTGAATATAATGAACGTCTGATGGCCCCTGAGGAGAGGTTTTAAACTGAATATAATGAACGTCTGATGGCCCCTGAGGAGAGGTTTTAAACTGAATATAATGAACGTCTGGGGGCCCCTGAGGAGAGGTTTTAAACTGAATATAATTAACGTCTGATGGCCCCTGAGGAGAGGTTTTAAACTGAATATAATGAAAGTCTGGGGGCCCCTGAGGAGAGGTTTAAACTGAATATAATTAACGTCTGATGGCCCCTGAGGAGAGGTTTAAACTGAATATAATGAACGTCTGATGGCCCCTGAGGAGAGATTTTAAACTGAATATAATTAACGTCTGGGGGCCCCTGAGGAGAGGTTTTAAACTGAATATAATGAACGTCTGGGGGCCCCTGAGGAGAGATTTTAAACTGAATATAATGAACGTCTGATGGCCCCTGAGGAGATATTTTAAACTGAATATAATGAACGTCTGGGGCCCCTTGAGGAGAGGTTTTAACTGAACTATAATTAACGTCTAGGATGGCCATGAGGAGCGGTTTTAAACTGAATATAATGAACGTCTGGGGGCCCTGAGGAGAGGTTTTAAACTGAATATAATGAACGTCTGAGGGCCCCCTTTTTTTTAAAAAAGGAGGGGGAATTTTAAAAAAAAAAAAAAAAAAAAAAAAAAAAAAAAAAAAAAAAAAAAAAAAAAAAAAAAAAAAAAAAAAAAAAAAAAAAAAAAAAAAAAAAAAAAAAAAAAAAAAAAAAAAAAAAAAAAAAAAAAAAAAAAAAAAAAAAAAAAACCCCCCCCCCCCCCCCCCCCCCCCCCCCCCCCCCCCCCCCCCCCCCCCCCCCCCCCCCCCCCCCCCCCCCCCCCCCCCCTAAATTTAATGAAGTCCTGGGGCCCCCGGGAAGGGTTTTTAAAAACGGAATATAATGAAGGCCTAGGGGCCCCCTAAAAGGGGGGTTTTAAACCTGTAAAATGAAGGAGGGCCCCCAAGGAGGGTTTTTAAAAACTTTTTGGGGGTGCGGGGCCCAAGAGAAATTTTTTTAAAATGAATTTAAAATGCGTCGGGACCCCGGAGGTTTTTAAAAAAACTAAATAAATAGCCTGGGGGCCCCAGGGTTTGGGTTTCGGGTTAAATGAACTTTGATCCCCCTAGGGATTTTTTTCCGAATTTGGGAAGGCTTTTGGGCCCCTGAAAAAGGGGGTTTTCGGTTTAAACGTCTGGGGGCCCCGGGGAAATTTAAAAACTGAAAAATTTAAGGCCTTTGGGGACCCTAAAGGGGGGAAACTGAATAAAATGAAAGGGGGGCCCCCTGGGAGGGTTTAAAATGTCTTGGGTTGAGGGCCCCTAAAGGATAGGTTTTTAATTAAAAGGTTAAAATGTAGGGGGTGTTTTTCTAATATTTTAAGGGGGGCCCTAGGAGGGTTTTCTTTTTGGGTCTGGGGGCCCCAAAATTTAAATAAATAAAAAAGGCCTGTCCCCAGGGTTTTAAACTGTTTTGGGGGCTCGGGGGCCCTTAGGTTTTTAAAAAATAAAATTAAAGGGTTCTGACCCTGGGGATTTTTAAACCTGTTTTAAATGAAGGGGGGCCCCTAGGGGGGGTTTTCAAATTTGGTTGGGGGCCCCCAAATGGTTTAAAACTAAATAAAAGCCTCTGGGGGTTTCCCCGGGGGTTTTGGCTGCCTCCCCCATTAATATAAGGGCCTTCCCCCCGCCTTTTGGTTTAATTCCGGGAAAAAAAAGAGAAGGCCTAATTCGGGGCCCTTTTTTGGGGGTTTACCCGCTAACGGTAAAGGGCCCCTGTGAAAGGGTTCTTGTTGCTGGTGGATAAATGCAAACCCCCGGTAAAATTTTGGCCTATTAAGGCCCTGCTTTGGGTTTGGCGACTTGCAATACGATTGGTTAGGATAGTTGGCAAGGGTTTCTGCGTTGGGGCTGACCTGCCTATACTGATGATGGGCCATGAAGGGTTCGGGTGGTCTGGGGGCTGACCCCCTATAAAAAATAGATGGCCAGTTGGGGGTTCTGACTGGTCTGGGGCTGACCTGCCTATACTGATAGATGGCCCTTTAGGGGCGGGGTTTTCTGACTTTTTCCGGGTGGTTTACCTGCCTATAAATAGATAGGGCCTGTGAAGGTTTTCCTGATGTTTCTGGGGCTCCCCCTGCCTTTTACTGATAGATACCTAGTGCGGGGTTTTCTGTCTGTCGGGGGGCGACCTGCTATACTGTTAGATGGCCTAGTGGGGGTTTCTAAACTTTCCTGGGGGTGACCTGCCTAACGATAGATAGGCCTGGGGAGGTTTTCTGCCTGTCTGGGGCGACCTGCCTAAAACTGATAGATGGGCCATTTTGGGGGGTTCTGACTGTCTGGGGGGGGATCGGCCTATACTGATAGTTTAGGCCTAGTCCCGGGGTTTTGTCTTGCCCCTTGGTGGTGACCTGCCATATGATGTGGGCCTAGGAGGGTTGGCTTTGGGGCTATTTTCCTTATTTGATTAGATGGGCCTAGTGCGGGTTTTTTCTGTCGGGTTGGCTAAACCTGCCTATACTGGATGGGCCCTGTGCAGGGTTCGGGCTGTTGGTGGCTGACCTGCCTTACTGATAGTGGGCCCTAGTGCGGTTTGTTGTTGGGGCTGCCCCTGCCAAACTGATAGATAGGCCTAGTGCGGGTTTTTTCTCTGTCGGGTTTGGCTGACCTGCCTATACTGTAGATGGGCCCTAGGGCCGGTTTTTTTTGTCTTTTCTGGGGGCCCTGACCTCCCTTTTAAGATAAAAGGGCCCTAGTGCAGGGTTCTGCCCGGTCGGGTGGCTGCCCCTCCCTTTACTGATAGTGGGCCCCTAGGGGCGGGGTTTCCTGTCTTTTGGGGGGGTGCCCTGCCTATACGATAGATGGCCCAAAAAGTGCAGGGTTTGCCGGTCTTTTTGGCTAAACCTCCTATACTGTAGATGGGCCCTTAGTGGGGGGTTTTCTGCTGTCTGTCGGGTGGCTGACCTCCCTAACTGATGTTTGGCCTAGGGGCGGGGTTCGTCTTTTGGGGTGGCTGACCTCCCATACAAAGATAGGCCTATTTGAAAAGGGTTTCTGACCTTGGGGGTGCCCTGCCTATATGATAGTTTGGCCTTTAGTCCCAGGGTTCTCTGTTTCCTGGTGGCAAACCTCCCAAATTACTGATAGATGGGGCCTTTTGAAAGGGTTCTGCTTTTGGGGTTGGCTGACCTCCCTATACTGATAGAACCTAGTGAATTTTTGCCCTTCGTTGGGGGGCGACCCCAAATACGTTTGGAAGGAGGGGGTTCAATTCTTTTGGTCGACCGCCAACTGGTTCCCTTTTGGGGGTTCGTTCCCGCGGGGGGAAATTGCCAGAAAAGGGCCCCAGGCAGGGTTTCCTGACGCTTCTCTGCCCGTAAATAAAGAAGGAAATGGGGGACTTTTTGGGGTGGCTGATCCAGTGATATTTGTACGGGTTTTGCTTCCTAAACCTATAAAGGGGCCAGTGGGGGCCCTCTGGGGGGGGACCTTGGCCAAAAACCCGGTTCCTGGGGGGGCGCCCGGTGGGACCCCCATCTGAAAGGGGGGGCCCGGTGGGACCCCCCTTCTGAAAAAGGGGCGCCCGTGGCCCCCCATCTGAAGGGGCCAGGTGGGGCCCCTGTCTGGGGGCGACCGGGGCCCCAAAACGGGAAAGGGGCTTGGGGCCCAAACCTTCTGGGGGCCCCTTAACCCAAAACCTTAAAAAAGGGGCCCGCTCGTGGGACCCCAAACCCTTTTTCCCGGGAAAAAGGGGCCCCGGGGGTGGGACCCCCCCCTTTTGAAAGGGGCGCCGGTTGGACCCCATCTGAAAGGCCCATCCTTCCCTTCTTCTTTTTGGGGGTACCCCCCTCCCCTAAACTTTTTCTTCGCCCTCCCTAATTAAACCCTTTTCCTTCACCTTTCCCTCCTATTATTGGCCTTTTTAAACAGGGTTTTTCCCCCGCCTGGTGCTACCCCTTATTTCTCCAGGCCGCCGGTCCCTCCTGATGATAAAACCCTTTTTAAATCAACCTTACCCCCCCAAAGGGTTAGCCGCCCGGGGTTCCCCGGGGTTAAACCCCCCTTTCTTTTTTAGTCCCCCCTCCCCATATAAACTTCCTTGTTTTAAATACCCCCCAAACCCCCTTCCAAAACCTCTTTAAAAAATTCCTTTTTTAGGGGGCTTTTTCTTTTGTTCCGGTGAAAATTTTCCCTAACGCCCGTCCAAAACCCTTTTCCCGGGGAAAAAACCCGGGGGGCCCCTTCCCCCCTGGGGGCGCCCGGGGCCCCTTTTTCAAAAGGGGCCCCTTTTTGGCCCCCCTGGGGCCTTCTTTTTTCCCCCTTCTCCGCCCTCCCCCTTTTAAGGGGCCCCCCCTAGCCCCCAAACCCCCTTTTGGGGCCCCTAACGCCAAAATTTAAAACCTCCCCCAAAAAATTAAACCAACCAGCCCCAAACCCTTTTTTTAACCCCGGGGCCCCCAACCTTTGAAAGGGGTTACCTTGAGCCCCAAAACCCGTCTGAAAGGGGGGCTCCTTTGCCCCCCAAAACCCATTTTGAAGGGGCCCCCTTTAGCCCAAAAAACCATCTAAAAGGGGCTTCCCGTGAGCCCCAAAACCCTTGTGGCGGGCAGGGGTTGCTGTTTGGGGAATTTACGGGAAATTTCTAGGGACTTTTTCTTCCCGTTTTAGGGAAAAAAACGGGTTTTTGTTTAAAATGATTTAAATCCCTACTAAAGGGGAGGATCCCCAGCCCACCCACCCCAAAACCACACACCACACCCCACACACACACACACACACGCCCCCCCCTTTTTTTTTTTCCTGGAAAGTAAATTACAGAGGGTTTTCCGGGGGAGAGTGTGTGTTGTTTTTTAAATTTTGCTGTAGTGTGTTTGTTTTTCAAAATGCGGTATTTTTTTTGTTTTTGTTTTCAGTCGTAAGTGTGTTTGTTTGTTCGGGATGCTGAAAGGTGTGTTTTGTTTTTTTAAAGATCCCTGAGGGGTTTATTGTTTTTTTCGGGTTTACGAAAGTGTGTGTTGTTTTTCAGATGTGTAGTGTTTGTTGTTTTTTCAAGGGCCTGTAGTGTGTGTTTTTTGTTAAGGGCGTAGTGTTTGTTTTCAGATGCTGTTGTGTGTGTGTGTTTTGTTCGGATGTTTAAATTGTGTGGGGGGTTGTTCAGATGCTGTAGTGTGTGTTGTTGTTCAGATGCTGTAGTGTGTGTTGTTGTTCAGATGCTGTAGTGTGTGTTGTTGTTCAGATGCTGTAGTGTGTGTGTGTTGTTCAGAGGGCCTTGTAGTGTGTTTTTGTTGTTCAGGGCTGTGGGTTTTTTATTGTTTTTCGATGCGGAGGTGGTTTGTTGTTCAGATGCTGTATGTTGTTGCTTTTCGGGGTTTCTGTAGTTTTGGTGTTGTTTTTTCAGATGCTGTTTGGGGGTTGTTTTTTTCAGATGCTGTGTGGTGGTGTTGCTGTTCAATGCTGTAGTGTGTTTTTTTTGTTCAGATGCTTTAGTGTTGTTTTTAAGATGCTGTAGTGTTTTGTTTTTGGTTCGGGGGGGTGTAGTGTGGTGTGTTTTTTAATTGTTTTTAGTGGGGTGTTTTTTGTTCGAGGCTGAGTTTGTTTTGTTTGTTAAATTGTGTTTTGTGTGTTGTTTGTTCAGATTCGTAGTTTTGTGTTGTTTTTCAGATGTTTGTAGTGTGGGTTTTTGGTTCAGTTTTGCTTTTTATTTGTGTTTTGTTTTTAAGTTTGGTTTTTTAGTGGGGTTTTGTGTTTTTTTCAGAGCGGTAGGGGGTTTTTTTTTTCAGTTTTTGTAGTGTGTGTGGTGTTTTTTGGTTCAGATGTTTAGGGGGTGTTTTGGTTCAGATGCTGTTTTTGGTTTTGGGGTTGTTTTTCAGATGTTTTTTTTTTTAGTGGTGTTGTTTTTCAATGGTGTAGTGTGGGTGTGTTTTTCCCGATGTGTAGGGGTTGTGTTGTTCAGTTCCCTGTAGGGGTGTTTTGTTTTTGGGGAGCTGTATGTGTGTTGTTTTTCCCGGTTTGCTGTAGGGGTTTATTGTTGTTCAGATGCTGTAGTGTGTGTTGTTGCCCGATGCTTAGTGGTTTTTGGTTTTTTAGATGCTGTAGTGGGGGTGTTGTTTTTCCCGTTTGCTGTAGTTTTGTGTTGTTCAATGCTGAAAGTGTTTTGGGTGGTGTGTTGTTGATGCTGTAGTGTGGGTTGTTTTTCGAGGGTTTTAGTTTTGTGTTGTTGTTCAGATGCTGTAGTGTGTGTTTTTGTTAAGTGCTGTATTTGTGGGGGGGTGTTTTTTGTTCAAAAGCTGTAGTGTGTGTTTTTTGTTAGTGCTGTGGGGTGTTTTGGGTTGTTTGTTCAGTTGCGTAGTGGGGTGTTGTTGTTAAATGTTTTGTAGGTGTGTTTTGTTTTTTCAGATGCGGGTAGTGTATGGGGGTTTTTTCAGATGTGTAGGGTGTGTGGTGTGTGTTTTTTTCAGATGCTTTTTGTGGTGTGTTTTTTCGGATGTGTAGTGTGGGGTTTTTCAGATGCGGTGTGTGTGTTTTTTCCCGATGCTGTAGGGGTTGTGTTGTTGTTCAATGATGTATTGTGTGTTTTTGTTCAGGTGCGGTGTGTGTTTGTTGTTAAGGGGGTGTAGTTTTTGGTTGCTTTTTCAGATGGGTAGTGGGGGATTTTTTGTTAAATGCTGTAGGTGTGTTGTTTGTTCAAAACCCTTGTAGTGTGTTTGTTAAGATGCTGTGGGTGGGGTTTTTTTCCCGATGCTGTAGTTTTGTGTTGTTTTTTCAATGCTGTAGTGGGGGTGTTGTGCAAGCTGTAGTGTGGGGTTTTTCAAATGTTTGTAGTGTGTGGGGTGGTTTTTAAAAAAGCGGGGTTTAAAGGGCGGCGCGCTTAAAACCCCAAAAGAAGGGGAAGGAGCCCTGAGGGGGAAAGGAAGATGAAAGGAAGGGGAAAAGAAAATAGAGGCCCGGAAAAGATAAACAAACCTTTTAAAACTCCAACAAAAAACCCTTAAAAAACTAACTGGAACTATAAAAATTTAATAATCCCCAAACCTTAGAAACTAAGGGAAATATGAACTATAATCACACAACCTTAGAACTAACTGGAACTAAAAAACAAAAAAACCCAAAACCCCTTAGAACTAACTGGAATTAAAACTTTTAATCACCAAACCTTAAAAACAAACCCGGAACTAAAAAACTATAATCAAAAAAACCTTAAAAATAACGGAACTATAAAAACTAAATAACAAAACCCCTTAAAAACTAACTGGAACAAACAAAAAAACAGTGGTTCCAAATTTTTTTTAAAAACTGTAAAAAACCCTTTTTTTTTGCCTTGCCCGGAGTACCCGGGAAGTCCCCCCTGATGTGCATTTGACCAGTAAGCCTATGGTCTCATGAGTTTCCCAAAGGGCCCCCCCCGGGTGGATGGGCCAAATACCCCCCAGAGGCCCTGAAACCCCCCGTGGATCCCAACCCCCCCCAAGAGGCCCTAGTCCCCCCTGTGGATGGCCCAAAGTGCCCCCAAGGTCCAGTCCCCCCCTGTGGATACCCCAAGTCCCCCCAAAGGGGCCCCCTAGTACCCCTGTGGTTTCCCAAAATTTACCCAAGGTCCGTCCCCCCCCTTTTGGATTGGCCAAGTCCCCCCCAAGGTCCTGAAACCCTCTGTGGTAGGCCAAGTACCCCAGAGGCCCTAGTCCCCCCCTTTTGGAAATAGGCCAATTTCCCCCCAGAGGTCCTAGTGCCCCTGTGGATAGGCCAAGTCCCCCCAAAAGGGGTTTCCCGTACCCCCTGTGGATACCCAAGTACCCCCGGGGGGGCCTAGAAACCCCCTGTGGATGGCCCAAAGGTCCCCCCCCCAGGGGTTCCTAGTACCCCCTGGGGTTTTAGGCCAAGTCCCCCCAGGGTCCTAGTACCCCCTGGGGATAGGCCAATTTTGCCCCCAGGGGTCCTAGAAAACCCCCGGGTGGATGGGCCAAGTCCCCCCCAGAGGCCCTGCCCCCCTGGGGATGGGCCAAGACCCCCAGAGGCCCTAGTCCCCTTTCTGGGGATAGGCCAAGTCCCCCCCAAGAGGCCTAGCCCCCCCCCTGTGGATAGGCCAATTACCCCCAAGTCCTAGTCCCCCCTTGGATGGGCCAATTGCCCCCAGGGGTTCCTAGTACCCCATGTGGATAGGCCAAGTCCCCCCCAGAGGTCCTGTCCCCCTGTGGATGGGCCCAAAAGTACCCCCAAGGCCCTATTTCCCCCCCTGTGGAAAAGGCCAAGTACCCCCAGAGGCCCTATTTCCCTTTTTTTTGGGGGATAGGCCAAGAAACCCCCAGAGGTCCTATTACCCCTGGAGGGGAACCAAACTAAACTAGGGGGAAAGGTAAAAAAAAACCTCCTACCCAAAAAACCCTTAGAAACCGGGAAACTGTAAACTACAAAACTAAAGAACAGAGAACTATGTAAATGGTTTTTAGAACGGGGAAACCCCCCCAAACATACAACTAGAAAAAACAAATTAAAATTGGGTTTTTAAAATTTTTGGGGAAACCCCCAAAAAACTATACAACTAAAAAACAAATGAAATGGGTTTTAGAACTGTGGAACCCCCAAAAACTATAAAACTTAGAACTATGTAAATGGTTTTGAAACTGTAAAAACCCCCCAAACTATACAACTATAAAAACTAGTAAATAGGTTTAAAAACGTAGAACCCCCAAAAACTAAAACAACTATAGAACATGAAATAGGTTTAGAACTGTAAACCCCCCAACTCAAAAAACTAAGAACATGTAAATAGGTTTAGAACTTTTTAAAAACCTTAAAACTATAAAAATATAGAACTATGTTAAATGGGTTTTTTTAGAACTTTTAGAACCCCCCCAAAACTATAAAACTAGAGAACTATGAAAAAGGTTTTAGAATGTAAAACCTCCAAACTAACAATATAAAAACAAATGTAAATGGTTTAGAACTGGGGCCCCTCCAAACTTTTATAATAGAAAAATAGGTAAATAGGTTTAGAACTGGGGAACCCCCAAAACTTAAAACTAAGAACTATGTAAATCGGTTTAAACCTGTAGAACCTCCAAAACTATACAAACTATTGTAAATAGGTTTAGAACTGTGGTAACCCTCCAAAACTATCGAACTAGAGAACTATGTAAATAGGTTTAGAACTGTGGAACCTCCAAACTATACAACTAGAGAACTATGTAAATAGGTTTAGAACTGTAGAACCTCCAAACTATACAACTATAGAACTATGTAAATAGGTTTAGAACTGTGGAACCTCCAAACTATAGAACTATGTAAATAGGTTTAGAACTGTGGAACCTCTAGAGAACTATAGAACTATGTAAATATGTTTAGAACTGAGAACTAGAGTGATGTAATCAGCAGGGTCGTAACCCCAGACTCCCCTCAACCTTTACTTCACTCATGTATTCTTTATAAATAATGTATTTTTTCAGCACTTTACTTTGGCTACAAACGACAGCACACACACACACACCCACACACACACACTCACACCCTTATCCCTCCCTCCCTCCCTCCCTCCCTCCCTCCCCTCCCTCCCTCCCTCCCTCTTCTAGTCCCCCCCACCCCCCACCAGTGTAAACATGAGAACTGCCAAGGAGAGGGGGACGTTAGGGGAGAATATAAAAACACACAGTAGAAACTTGTCCAACTAGACCAGTGGCTCCTATTACCATGTTTTGGTTTTGGGGAGTGTCTGGGGGAAGTGTCCATGTATCAATTACTGTAGGGGGTGTTACAGTAGCTAGCCTGGATAAGGCCACAGTGTGTGATAGGAGCAAGGGAAGGGGGGGGGGGTGGGGGTGTGTGTGTGTGTGTAGGAGGCTAGGCAAAACAACCTGTGGTTGAACCAATCAGGAGCCTGCTAGCGGCTGCCGTGCCATATATGGCTTGTGTACACACACTCTGACACTGGAGGGCACACGTGGTGCAGGACCACACACCCACCACCAGGGGGAGACACAGAGGGGATACGTGGTGCAGGACCACACACACACCACCAGGGGGAGACACAGAGACACAGAGGGAATACGTGGTGCAGGACCACACCCCACCACCGGGGGGAGAACACCAGAGGGGATACCGTGGTGCAGGACCCCCACACACACACCACCAGGGGGTGACACAGAGGGGATACCGTGGTGGCAGGACCACACACACACCACCAGGGGGAGGACACAGAGGGGGATACGTGGTGCCCAGGACCACACACACAACCACCAGGGGAGACACAAGAGACACCAGAGGGGATACGTGGTGGCAGGACCCACAGGACCACACCACCAGGGGAGACACAGAGGACACAGACGGGGATACGTGGTGCCGGGACCACACACAACTACACCACCAGGGGGAGGACCCAGAAGACAACAGAGGGAATACGTGGTGCCGGATCACACACCCCACCCACCAGGGGGAGACACAGAGAACACGAGGGGATACGTGGTGCAGGATCACACACACACCACCAGGGGGAGACACAGAGACACAGAGGGAATACGTGGTGCAGGATCACACACACACCACCAGGGGGAGACACAGAGACACAGAGGGGATACGCTGGGAAACACTTCCTCTCTCTTCCCAGGGGTTTTTTCTGACTAAGTCTTGGGCGAGTGTTTTTTCGAGCACCTATGTCCAAACAGTAAAAAAAATATATATATATACAAAAAATATAACATATACACATACACACACACACACACACACACACACATACATTGTGGTCCTCTGTAGCTCAGCTGGTAGAGCACGGCGCTTGTAACGCCAAGGTAGTGGGTTCGATCCCCGGGACCACCCATACACAAAAAAAATGTATGCACGCATGACTGTAAGTCGCTTTGGATAAAAGCGTCTGCTAAATGGCATATTATTATTATTATACATATAAATAATATTTTCGAATGGAGAAATGTTTTCTTTGTAAACTTAAACTACTAAAAGTATTTAGAAAAGATAGAGCTATATACTTCAAATAGGCCACAGCGTGATAGGAGCGAGGTGCCAGGAAAATAACCTCTCACTCACTCGGTACCAGGAAAATAACCTCTCACTCACTCGGTGCCAGGAAAATAAACTCTCACTCGGTGCCAGGAAAATAACCTCTTTAATAATGTTTACATATCTTGCACTACTCATCTCATATGTATATACTGCATTCTATTCTATAATATTCTACTGTATCTTAGTCCATGCCGCTCTGTCATTGCTTGTCCATATATGTATATATTCTTAATTCATTCCTGACTTAGATTTGTGTGTATTGGCTATATGTTCTGAAATTAATAATAATAATAATAATATTGTTAGATATTACTTGTTAGATATTACTGCACTGTCAGAGCTAGAAGCACAAGCATTTCGCTACACCCGCAATAACATCTGCTAAACACGTGTATGCGACCAATACGATTTGATTTGAATAAGATCATCTTTTGAGAACTAAAAATCACCTAAATAAAAACTAGACAATCAGGGAGAATCTAAAATTCCCCAAATGATGCATTCAGGAGTGTCATGGAACAGTCCCCCCAACTAACGCGAACTCAGAGATTCTGAACGTGTGTGTGTGTGTGTGTGTGTGAGCATGCATGCATGTGTTAATCTATCTGTCCTCACCTGAGGGTGCCTGTCGGGGAGGGCAGCGGGCTGACCAGGTGTCGCAGGTCATCATGGTGCATTGTGGGAATGCTGATCTTGAGGGGGGAGATGTGGGGGAGGAGGGAGAGGCGGGGCGGAGGAGACTGCTGCTCCTCCTCTCTCAACTCCTCTCCAGGCAACAGAGAGGAGAACTGGATCTTTATGACTGTACTGGGGAACCTTAATACACAGCTAGAGGAGGGGAGGGGAGAGAGGGGGTGGGGGGGGGGTGGGGGCGGGCGGGGGTGGGGAGAGAGGAGAGGGGGACGGGGAGAGAGAGGGGCGGGAGGAGAGAGGGAGGAGAGAGCAGGAGGAGACGGAAGAGAGGATGGCGGAGAGGGGGAAGGTGCGGGATTGAAAGCGTGTTTGTGGGAGTAGGGTCTCGGATCGAGTCGTCGTCATGCGAGTCTCTGAGATTCGAGGCGAGACCATCTAGGAGGAGATTCCGCGGAGGATTGAGAGGGAAGCTCTCTCTTGTTTTCACTTCTCTTTTTTCTTCGCTTTTTCTTCTCTCTTCCTTTTTCTTGAGATTCTTAGCTCGATGAGGATTGAGATGGGGGTAGGTTGAGAGAGATTGAGGGGGAGGGGGGAGGGGAGAGAGGGGGAGAGAGAGAGGGAAGACAGATGGAGGTGTTTAGTTCACTATTTTACAGTTCCTAGACATTAGAACACTCTCTACTCCTATTAGAGCAGCCATTAGTTCCATTAAGTTAACACACCTGGTTACACCTGTAGGACACTTTCCCCTGGTGGTAATAATGCTGCCACTAAGTTTTTCAGTTGGTGGCACCAGCCCATGATCAGGTTAGTATATAGACAGAGACAGACAGACAGGCACCACACAGACAGACAGACAGGCAGACAGATAGCTGCCTCACACTTACATTTCTAGTCATTTAGCAGACGCTCTTATTCAGAGCGACTTACAGTTAGTTAGTGCATACATTTTTCATACTGGCCCCCCGTGGGAATCGAACCCACAACCCTGGCGTTGCAAACGCCATGCTCTACCAACTGAGCTACACGGGACCAGCACACTTCCCTTTGAAACACACTATTCCTGTTCTACTTTTTAAAATGTGTGTTTGAATGGAAAGTACAGTTGAAGTCGGAAGTTTACATACACCTTAGCCAAATACATTTAAACTCAGTTTTTCACAATTCCTGACATTTAATCCTAGTAAAAAATTCCTTGTTTTAGGTCAGTTAGGATCACCACTTTATTTTAAGAATGTGAAATGTCAGAATAATACTAGAGAGAATGATTTATTTCATCACATTTCATCACATTCCCAGTGGGTCAGAAGTTTACATACACTCAATTAGTATTTGGTAGCATTGCCTTTAAATTGTTTAACTTGGATCAAATGTTTCGGGTAGCCTTCCACAAGCTTCCCACAATAAGTTGGGTGAATTTTGGCCCATTCCTCCTGACAGACCTGGTGTAACTGAGTCAGGTTTGTAGGCCTCCTTGCTCGCACACGCTTTTTCAGTTCTGGCCACATATTTTCTATAGAATTGAGGTCAGGGCTTTGTGATGGCCACTCCAATACCTTGACATTGTTGTCCTTAAGCCATTTTGGCACAACTTTGGAAGTATGCTTGGGATCATTGTCCATTTGGAAGACCCATTTGCGACCAAGCTTTAACTTCCTTACTGATGTCTTGAGATGTTGCTTCAATATATCCACATAATTTTCTTTCCTCATGATGCCATCTATTTTGTGAAGTGCACCAGTCCCTCCTTCAGTAAAGCACCCCCACAGCATGATGCTGCCAACCCCGTGCTTCACGGTTGGGATGGTGTTCTTCGGCTTGCAGGCTCCCCCATTTTCCTCCAAACGTAACGATGGTCATTATGGCCAAACAGTTCTATTTTTGTTTCATCAGACTAGAGGCCATTTCTCCAAAAAGTACGATCTTTGTCCCCATGCGCAGTTCCAAACCGTAGTCTGGCTCTTTTATGGCGGTTTTGGAGCAGTGGCTTCTTCCTTGCTGAGCGGCCTTTCAGGTTATGTTGATATAGGACTCGTTTTACTGTGGATATAGATACTTTTGTACCTGTTTCCTCCAGCATCTTCACAAGATCCTTTGCTGTTGTTCTGGGATTGATTTGCACTTTTCGCACCAAAGTACGTTCATCTCTAGGAGACAGAACGCGTCTCCTTCCTGAGCGGTTTGACGGCTGTGTGGTCCCATGATGTTTATACTTGCGTACTATTGTTTGTACAGATGAACGTGGTACCTTCAGACGATTGGAAATTGCTCCCAAGGATGAACCAGACTTGTGGAGGTCTACAATTTTTTTTCTGAGGTCTTGGCTGATTTCTTTTGATTTTCCCATGATGTCAAGCAAAGAGGCACTGAGTTTGAAGGTAGGCCTTGAAATACATCCACAGGTACACCTCCAAATGACTCAAATGATGTCAATTATCCTATCAGAAGCTTCTAAAGCCATGACATCATTTTCTGGAATTTTCCAAGCTGTTTAAAAGGCACAGTCAACTTAGTGTATGTAAACTTCTGACCCACTGGAATTGTGATACAGTGAATTACAAGTGTTATATATATAATATATAAATATGTTATAATTATTAATCTGTCTGTAAACAATTGTTGGAAAAATTACTTGTATCATGGACAAAGTAGATGTCCTAACCGACTTGCCAAAACTATAGTTTGTTAACAAGAAATGTGTGGAGTGGCTGAAAAAAAGTTAATGACTCCAACCTAAGTGTATGTAAACTTCCGACTTCAACTGTACATCTCCACTTGATGTGATTAATTGAATTATTTTTGATAACAGTAATAAGAATCTTATTCCTCCATTCATTAGAAACAACAACAATATTGTCATCTGTGTGATCAGTTGACGCTGATGATGGTGATCTTAGGCTTGTGTGCGGCTTCTCGGTCATGGAAGCCCATTTCATGAAGCTCCCGATGAACAGTTATTTTGCCGACGTTGCCTCCACCAGAGGCAGTTTTGGAACTCGGTACTGAGTGTTGCAACCGAGGACAGACGATTTTTACGAGCTGCGCGCTACAGCGGTCCCATTCTGTGAGCTTGTGTGGCCTACCACGTCGCGGCTGAGCCGTTGTTGCTCCTAGACGTTTCCACTTCACAATAACAGCACTTACAGTTGACCGGGGCAGCTCTAGCAGAGCAGACATTTTACAAACTAACTTGTTGGAAAGGTGGCATCCTATGACGGTGCCACGTTGAAAGTCATTGAGCTCTTCAGTACGGGCCATTCTCTACTGCCAATGTTTGTCTATGGAGATTGAATGACTGTGTGCTCGATTTTATACACCTGTCAGCAACGGGTGGCTGAAATAGCCAAATCCACTCATCTGGTCCCGTGTAGCTCAGTTGGTAGAGCATGGCGTTTGCAACGCCAGGGTTGTGGGTTCGATTCCCACGGGGGGGCCAGTATGAAAATGTAAGTCGCTCTGGATAAGAGCGTCTACTAAATGACTAAAATGTAAATTTGAAGGAGAGTCCACATACTTTCGACCATGTGTGATATCTATCTATCTATCTATATATAAACATCCCTTCTTCAGGACCCTGACTTTCGAAGATAATTAATCCAAATAACTTCACAGATCTTCATTGTAAAGGGTTTAAACACTGTTTCCCATGCTTGTTCAATGAACCATAAACAATTAATGAACATGCACCTGTGGAACGGTCGTTAAGACACTAACAGCTTACAGACGGTAGGCAATTAAGGTCACAGTTATGAAAACTTAGGACACTAAAGAGGCCTTTCTACTGACTCTGAAAAACACCAAAAGAAAGATGCCCAGGGTCCCTGCTCATCTGCGTGAACGTGCCTTAGGCATGCTGCAAGGAGGCATGAGGACTGCAGATGTGGCCAGGGCAATAAATTGCAATGTCTGTACTGTGAGACGCCTAAGACAGCGCTACAGGGAGACAGGACGGACAGCTGATCGTCCTCGCAGTGGCAGACCACGTGTAACAACACCTGCACAGGATCGGTACATCCGAACATCACACCTGCGGGACAGGTACAGGATGGCAACAACAACTGCCCTATATATATATATATATACACACACACACACACACACACACACACACACACACACACACACACACATTGTACCAGTCAAAAGTTTGGACACACCTCCTCATTCAAGGGTTTTTCTTTATTTTGACTATTTTCCACATTGTAGAATAATAGTGAAGACATCAAAACTATGAAATAACACATATGGAATCATGTAGTAACCAAAAAAAGTGTTAAACAAATGAAAATATATTTTATATTTGAGATTCTTCAAAGTAGCCACCCTTTGCCTTGATGACAGCTTTGCACACTCTTGGCATTCTCACAACCAGCTTCATCTGGAATGCTTTTCCAACAGTCTTGAAGGAGTTCCCACAAATGCTGAGCACTTGTTGGCTGCTTTTCCTTCACTCTGCAGTCCAACTCATCCCAAACCATCTCATTTGGGTTGAGGTCAGGTGATTGTGGAGGCCAGGTCATCTGATGCAGCACTCCATCACTCAAATAGCCCTTACACAGCCTGGAGGTGTGTTGGGTCATTGTCCTGTTGAAAAATTAATGATAGTTCCACTAAGCGCAAACCAGATGGGATGGCGTATCGCTGCAGAATGCTGTGGTATCCATGCTGGTTAAGTGTGCCTTGAATTCTAAATAAAATCACTGACAGTGTCACCAGCAAAGCACCCCCACGTCATCACACCTCCTCCTCCATGCTTCACGGTGGGAACCACACATACGGTGATCATCCGTTCACCTGCTCTGCATCTCACAAAGACACAGAGGTTGGAACCAAAAATCTCACATTTGGACTCATCAGACCAAATTACAGATTTCCACCAGCCTAATGTCCATTGCTCGTGTTTCTTGGCCCAAGCAGGTCTCTTCTTCTTATTGGTGTCCTTCAGTAGTGGTTTCTTTGCAGCAATTCGACCATGAAGGCCTGATTCACGCAGGCTCCTCTGAACAGTTGATGTTGAGATGTGTCTGTTACTTGAACTCTGTGAAGCATTTATTTGGGCTGCAATTTCTGAGGCTGGTAACTCTAATGAATTTATCCTCTGCAGCAGAGGTAACTCTGGGTCTTCCTTTCCTGTGGCGGTCAGTTTCATCATAGCGCTTGATGGTTTTTGCAACTGCACTTGAAGAAACTTTAAAAGTTCTTGAAATGTTCCAGATTGACTGACCTTCGTGTCTTAAAGTAATGATGGACTGTAGTTTCTCTTTGCTTATTTGAGCTGTTCTTGCCATATGGACTTGGTCTTTTACCAAATAGGGCCATCTTCTGTATACCACCCCTACCTTGTCACAACACAACTGATTGACTCAAACGCATTAAGGAAAGAAATTCCACAAATTAACTTTTAACAAGGCACACTTGTTAATTGAAATGATTTCCAGGTGACTACCTCATGAAGCTGGTTGAGAGAATGCCAAGAGTGTGCAATGCTGTCATCAAGGCAAAGGGTGGCTACTTTGAAGAATCTGTTTAACACTTTTTTGGTTACTACATGATTCCATGTGTTATTTCATAGTTTTTTTTTTTTTTTTTTACATTTTTAGTCAGTTTATTTCATAGTTTTGATTTTTTAAAACATTTTTTGTCATTTAGCAGATGCTCTTATCCAGAGCACCTTACAGGAGCAATTAGGGTTAAGTGCCTTGCTCAAGGGCACATCGACAGATTTGTCACCTAGTCGGCTCGGGGATTACAACCAGCGACCTTTCGGTTACTGGCACAACGCTCTTAACCACTAAGCTATCTGATGTCTTCACTATTACTCTACAATGTAGATATATATATATATATATATATTTTTTTTTAAACTGGAATGAGTAGGTGTGTCCAAACGTTTGACTGGTACTGTATATATATTCCAGACTGACATTTCTCGTTATGATATTTCTATGTTTTTTTTGTATTGCTTGCTAGGTATTCCTGCACTGTTGTTGCTAGAAACACAAGCATTTCGCTGCGTCTGCAAATCTGTGTAGGCGACCAATAAACTTTGATTAGATCGTAAATATCCGTCATGCTGACTTGAGTGACTTTGTTTACGCGACGCCGCCGTCCGTCAAAACACTAAGATACAGTCAGTAGCTAAGCTAACAAGTTAACTCTAAATGTGGCTAATGTTTCAGTTTAGCTACTTCCATAATGCTGCTCACGTCTGCAACGGATTCACTTTAGCTAGCGTCTTCCTAATGTAGGTAACAAGTTAGCCACAGTCTCCTATCTTTTTCAATATGGGCTCTCAATGCGAATGGCTAATGTATTGAGTAGACAACTAGTTAGCTTCACAGTAGCCAGCTTCGATGTGTAATGTGGCTTATGTTTGTTTATGTAGCTAGCAACATTAGCATGCTAGTTATGCTAAGCTAACTTACAAGTTAGCCACAGTCTCCTATCTTTTTCCAATATGGGGCTCTCAGTGCGAATGGCTAATGTATTGAGTAGACAACTAGTTAGCTAGCTAGCTTCCAGTAGCCAGCTTAGACGGTGTAATGTGGCTTGTGTTTTGTTTATGTAGCTAGCAACATTAGCATGCTAGTCATGCTAAACTAACTTACTCTCGGGGCAGTTGCATGGGTGGCGCGCCTCTCCTCTGGAACACGCCGTCCACGAACACCCCGTTCTTGCCGAGGCAGCGCAGCGAGAACCCGCACGGCTCCTCCAAGGTGATCTGGAGGTGCCGCCGAGAGATGAAGCTGGAGTGACCCATGTTGATGTCCACGGAGCCGTGCGACGAGTTACGGCCTACGGTCACCGTTCGCTGCCGCATGACAAACTCAAAGTCCCGGCCTTCGAGCTTGGCCAGGGCCCGAGGCGGGGACGCGAGGCGAGTAGGCATTCCGCAGCCCCGGCCCAGCACCGAAGAGCCCGAGAAGGAGAAATTGGGAGGGTGTGCGGCCGAGGTCACCCCGACTCGAACAGGGCTGCAAGGGGCAGATTGCAAGGCCAGTAGGGCTCGAGCTCCGTTGTCGTCCCGAAAGTCTGCCATCTTCTTTTTTTTGGGGGGGGGGGGTGGTGAATACAAACACACTCTCGACTCTCAGACACACACAGGTCCCTGCAACGTGAAGGGTTATTGGACAGGCCCGCTCGCTAGCTCCGTCGCCTGTCGGAGAGACAGAAACAACATGGATTCTGGCCGCGGTGAAGACCCGGTGTGAATGAGGAGTGTGATCCGGAAATGGAGTTAGTTCGACAAAGTTGTCTCGACCCTTCGGTCCAATAATAACACCTGATAGCGATAAGAGAATCCTGTTCTACCAAGCCGACGCTGTAAACATCACACTGTTGCTGCTCAATAAATACACCCCCCGTTCTATATCCCACTATGCCTATCTATTTGTAGCGTTGTTCAAGTCCAGATTGACCAGACGAGGCCAATAGTATGGTATTATTGAAGATGTTAGGCTTATTGGAATCGTATTTAACAATATTATCTTTTTTTTTTGTGCTCTTTTTTTTCTTCTCTAAACGGTAAAAAAAATAGTATGCCCTTGGACGAGAGAGGGTTAATACTCGTTTCCAGGAACCGGACAACACGTGCGTGACATATGTCGTTGGTTCGGGGCCAGAATGAGATTTTTTTTTAAATTTGAGATTATTACTTGTTTGGTCACTGCTATCCCCGACTGTTTGTTCGGAATATGAAGGTGAACTTCGCGATCAGAGATTCTCTGCCCTGTGTTTATAAACGCTGAAAGTACAAGAGAGCTGGAAAGTGTGGAGAGTGGATCAGTTGTTTGGAATGGGACCAGGCGAGCTACCGCCCTTACGAAAAACTGTTTTTTACTACAGTAATTTTTCAGCGTTATTCTGCAATTACTGAAAATACCAAAATACCACAGTGGACTGATGTTACTGCACTTTTACTGCACTTTTAAAACGGCAATCTTTTTTTGTAAGGGCAGGGCTGTGTATTTACATCCAATGGCCACACGAGGGCGGTATTGGGGATCGGAAAACAAACGCACATGTGTGGAACACTACAATTAGGCCTAGCTGAATGAAATTAGAAATATGTCTTGATAAATAACAAATCAATCAATATATATATTAATTGTTCTCATGTATATTTGTGTGTGTTTGTAACTTATTAAAAACAAAAAACTACGTTTTAAGTGAGAATAGGCATCGTTCTGAAGCTGAAAAAAAGATAGGAAATTCACATGAGCACATATTTATACGTACATTTGCATCATTTAACAGACGCTCTTATCCAGAGCGACTTACAGTTAGTGAGTACATACATTTTTCATACTGGCCCCACCCGTGGGAATCGAACCCACAACCCTGGCGTTGCAAACGCCATGCTCTACCAACTGAGCTACACGGGGAACTGCACCACAATGCCTATTCCACCCATGCTCTACCAAGGTTTTCCCAGCACACAGCTTTGACCTACTACAGTAGCTATGTTGGTATTGTACTTCAAACTATGTTTAGGCAGGTTGCTTAGGATTCAAACCTTCTCAAAAAGCCTGATTCATAGTCTTAGAGGAGGTGCTTCCACATTAATATGATTTGTACCTCATACAGGGTAAAGTATTGGATTCTTCACACACCACAGTAAGACATTATCCTATTAAGCTACCTTTTCATGCTTTTTTGAATTTCAATCAAAGCAACCTTTGCTTCTATTCTTATGCTGAACAAAAATATAAACGCAACATTGCATATAAGGAAATCAGTCAATTGAAATAAATAAATTCGGCCCTAATCTAATGGATTTCACATGACTGGGAATACAGATTTTTTTTTAAAAGGTAGGGGCGTGGATCAGAGTAACCAGTCAGTATCTGGTGTGACCACCATTTGCCTCGTGCAACGCGACACATCTCCTTCGCATAGAGTTGATCAGGCTGTTGGTTGCGGCCTGTGGAATGTTGTCCCACTCCTCATCAATGACTGTGCGAAGTTGCTGGATATTGGCGGGAACTGGAACACGCTGTCGTACAAGTCGATCCAGAGCATCCCAAACATGCTCAATGGGTGACATGTCTGGTGAGTATGCAGGCCATGGAAGAACTGGAACATTTTCAGCTTCCAGAAATTGTGTACAGATTCTTGCAACATGATGCTGTGCATTAGGGGCAGCAGGTAGCTTAGTGGTTAAGAGCGTTGTGCCAGTAACCGAAAGGTCGCTGGTTCTAATCCCCGAGCCGACTAGGTGAAAAATCTGTCGATGTGCCCTTGAGCAAGGCACTTAACCCTAATTGCTCCTGTAAGTCGCTCTGGATAAGAGCGTCTGCTAAATGACCAAAAAACAAAACATTATCATGCAGAAACATGAGGTGAGGGCGGTGGATGAATGGAGTGACAATGGGCCTCAGGATCTCGTCACGGTATCTCTGTGCATTGAAATTGCCATCGATAAAATGCAATTGTGTTCGTTGTCTGTAGCTTATGCTTGCCCATACCATAACCCCACCACCACCATGGGGCACTCTGTTCACAATGTTGACATCAGGAAACCACTCACCCACAGGACACCATGCACGTTGTCTGCCATCTGCCCGGTACAGTTGAAAACCGGGATTCATCCGTGAAGAGCACACTTCTCCAGCATAGCTGTGGCCATTGAAGGTGAGCATTTGCCCACTGAAGTCGGTTATGACGCCAAACTGCGGTCATGTCAAGACCCTGGTGAGGACGACGAGCACGCAGATGAGCTTCCCTGAGATGGTTTCTGACAGTTTGTGCAGAAATTCTACGGTTGTGCAAAGCCACAGTTTCATCAGCTGTCTGGGTGGCTGGTCTCAGACGATCCCACTGGTGAAGAAGCCAGATGCGGAAGACCTGGGCTGGCGTGGTTACACGTGGTCTGTGGTTGCGATGCCGGTTGGACGTACTGCCAAATTCTCTAAAATGACGTTGGAGGTGGCTTATGGTAGGGAAATTAACATTAAATTATCTGGCAACAGCTCTGGTGGACTATTCATGGTCTCGATGAACAGCTGAGGTCTTGAACAGCTGAGGTCTTGAGGTCAGCTGAGTGGTAGAACCAGGTGTGGTACCACTGGGCTTGACGAACAGCTGAGTAGTAGAACCAGGTGTGGTACCACTGGGCTTGACGAACAGCTGAGTGGTAGAACCAGGTGTGGTATCACTGGGCTTGACGAACACCTGAGTAGTAGAACCAGGTGTGGTACCACTGGGCTTGACGAACACCTGAGTAGTAGAACCAGGTGTGGTACCACTGGGCTTGACGAACAGCTGAGTGGTAGAACCAGGTGTGGTACCACTGGGCTTGACGAACAGCTGAGTGGTAGAACCAGGTGTGGTACCACTGGGCTTGACGAACAGCTGAGTAGTAGAACCAGGTGTGGTACCACTGGGCTTGACGAACAGCCTGCATAACCTTGTAGATCGTCAAGAGCAACTTTTGATAACTCCTGATACAACCAACCACTGTAAATAAATTACCAACGGCTGAGAAACATCTGGAAAAATACAAAGTCATTAGACAAGTACAAAACTCTTAAGATAAATTATAGACATATTTACAAATCTGAAAGTGGACAGGTGCTCTAAACCTTTGAATACAACAACTTCAGCTACAAATGTCCTCAGTAATGCTGAACACAGATGTCCAACGGCCTCATTTATAAACAGGAAACCAGGTGGGAGAACTCACAGATCTGGAACAGAACATACATGTTTAAATATTGACAGTGTGCGAAGTAGCGTGTTTACTGCGTGAATTTGAATTGCCATGAGTTGTTTGACAGTTCCACATGGGCCAGCTTGCATTTCTCCGTGACAGGCACATTCCCACAATCCCCCCCCCCCAATCTGCCATAAAGCACTGTGGCGATGGCTTGCATCTCTACAGATGAGGGCAAAGACCTCTTCCTTGAGAGTCTGAGAGCTGGTCTTTCCTCGAGACACACACAGTAGTACACACCACCCCACTCCCTGCCACTCGCCTGCCACTCCACCAACCCAAAGGCTCTTTCAAGAGCCGCCTAATAAATATACATAAGTGTGTGTGTCGGGGATGGGGATTGTCAAAACTATAAATTAATAATTGTCAAAATGTATCCTTGTCAAAATGTATCCAATCTTCAGATACACAGCCTTTACAATACGAACCCTGCTCTTAAAAACGCTGATTTCGACAGACCATTTAAATGGACAGTATACACAGCCTTTACAATACGAACCCTGCTCTTAAAAACGCTGATTTCGACAGACCATTTAAATGGACAGTATACACAGCCTTTACAATACGAACCCTGCTCTTAAAACGCTGATTTCGACAGACCATTTAAACGGACAGTATACACAGCCTTTACAATACGAACCCTGCTCTTAAAAACGCTGATTTCGACAGACCATTTAAACGGACAGTATACACAGCCTTTACAATACGAACCCTGCTCTTAAAAACGCTGATTTCGACAGACCATTTAAACGGACAGTATACACAGCCTTTACAATACGAACCCTGCTCTTAAAAACGCTGATTTCGACAGACCATTTAAATGGACAGTATACACAGCCTTTACAATACGAACCCTGCTCTTAAAAACGCTGATTTCGACAGACCATTTAAACGGACAGTATACACAGCCTTTACAATACGAACCCTGCTCTTAAAAACGCTGATTTCGACAGACCATTTAAACGAACAGTCCTGGAGTGTTTGTTCCAAAACTATTCTGGGTCGTTTGTTTCCTCTTGTTTGGTTCAAATACAAACAGTCTAAAACAGTTGATTTGTTGGAAACAGATTCATTTCATCAAGTAGCTAAACAAAGTTAGCGAGCATGTCATTTTCTCAGGGCTGACAATTTTTTTTTTTTTTGAAAAGCTTGGAGTGAGATTTACTGTGTGAATTCTATTGGCCTCTGGCACAATCCCTACACCGGGGGGGGGGGGGGGGGGGGGGGGGGGGGGGGGGGGGGGGATTTGACTGTTTTAAAGCTAATTTCCTGTTTTACGTATTTCGACATGGCTTAGGCAATATGACCAATCAGCTGTATTCAGG